TACCTTTTGTATAACCTTACACATTATGTAACACCTTCTGTACCGTATTATCTATTTATTCGAGGAATATTCCAGTATATCAACATTTCCTGAAGAGTGAGTTACTCACGAAACAGGCTTGTAGAGATAAACCATGTAGTTTCACTTTCTTCAATCTATGATATATCACGCTCTACGTGCTAACGTATTGAGCACTGTGCTACGGAAGTATCAAAAGACAAATTTCTATATATATATACATATATATATATATATATATCTCTCTAATGCAATATATGATTCACTGAGAGAGAGGGTTGCTCACGCTTACGTTTATATAGGAAAATTTCAATAAATTGTATAGACATTTTTTTATATATGCAAGTATACTTCTGAGTATTACAGTATTTGTATAAAGTCTGCCCCCGTCCTTTAGACAGAAATTTTCAGGGGAAGAAGAACAATGCTATGGTCCTTGCACCAAGCGAACTCAGATGTCTCTGGTGACTAATATTTACAATGTGCACTGTTTTCTTTATCCAATGAACATATTCGAGGGATGCCACGTTCCTTGATCACTGTGATTTGTTGGGGGTTTCTATGTCCTCTTGTGATCACATAGTTTCCAATGAGTGTGGCGTTCCTCGAAAAGTGACCTAATTGGCCATTCTAGATTCCCTGTGTTTCTACTGGGGACATTCTGAATACAAGTGCTGTATGCGTTTTTACAATTGATCTCGTTCAAGTATAAAATTGCGCTTTATCATACGCTTTAAACTCATGCATATCTAACAATACCATTGAGAAAATTTAACTCTTTCCATGAAAAGAATCTGTGTGCAATTGTTTCTAAGTTGTCAATAAAAAGGGTTGAAATGCTCGATTTTGTCTCGAAAAGAGAAATACCAAAATGTGCGAATGGATTGGTCAAAGGTCGAAGGGGCACACAGTAAGAAACGTGTTGTCATACTCCGTGAAACGAAGGATAAAACTTTTCGCTGTCCGATAGAATTTTGCGAGAATCGTACATTTTTCAGCAAAAGAGGTTGCCGAAAACACATAGACACCAAGCACAGATGGTATTATTTTTTCGATGTGAAGCCGAGTGATAAAGTTATTGAAAGGTCGGCTGAACAGAGTACCCAAAGAAGTCACAAACACATCGAAAGTGCCAGAAGACGTGCAGATACAACTAAAAGGCCACATTTCTCAATTTCTGAAGGGGTTGGAAAGCAGTATGTCGATTGGCTTTGTGCTGTTTGTGGCGGGGGACTGTCAGCAGCACAGGCAACACAAAATGCTACACGCGTAATGAAATTCTTGAAATTTTGCAGCGAAGATGACGAAGACAATCTCACAGAACAGCATGTAGACTACAGCATAGGATCCGCAGGACTTATATGCAGTTTTATCGAGCATATCGGAAAAGAATGGGGCCTAGGCAGCTCAGCTCAATTTGGGTATTTACAAGCAATCACAGATTTGATCGACTTTCGTAAATCCAGTGGATTATCGGCAACAGTGCTTGGCAATTTGGCGGTTTCTGAAGTTTACATAAACCGAGGGAAAAAAGCACTGGCTAAAAGGAAAATCAGCGAATGGTCAAAAAACCTGTCGATCGAAGTCCTTTCTGGCTGTAATCAGTGGGCGACGATGGAAGAAATGGAGAGAGTTATACCGTACCATCTTCCACGCTACAAAGATGTGTTGACAAATTGTAAAGGCTATCCTTTGACTGCCGTTACACCTGCGGACCTTACATTTGCCACTCGATTTGTAGCTGTGTATATGTTTACAAGAGTGAAAGGATCACGCCCAATGACGTATCAATTTCTAACAGTATCAATGTTTGAAAAGTCGAGGGAGAATAATGGGTTTGTGGACCAGACTGAGTTTAAAACTGCACAACAGTACACCTTTGATTCATTGATACTTGATGAGACGAGCACACGACTCCTTGACGACTATATTTGCCATGTTAGGCCTCTGTTGAACCCTCAGTGCGAATATGTACTAGTCACAAGAAATGGAACACAGTTTAAACAGTTAAGTAACCTGATGTCAGAACTCGTTTTTCAGGCAATCGGGAAATACGTTCATCCGACCAGATATCGTCAGATTGTTGAGACGGAGAGCTCGCGTAAACTTTCTGCTGAAGAGCAAGAAGTCGTGAGCCGAGACCAAAAACACAGTTCTCAAGTTGCGAAAACTTACTATCAAAAGCGCAATTCACGCGAAATTGCAGTAAATGCCAAATCGGCGATGAAAAAGTTGCAGAACAAAGAAGTTGATAGAAGTTTAAAAAGAATCATTCTAGACAACAAAGATTCGTCTGATCAAGACTGCTGCTTGGAAGAAACCGAACAGCACCAGCAAATAACGCCAGGAAGAAATCGGAAAGAAACAATTTGCGTCAATCTCGACGAAGCGGGTAACGAATCGTGTAGAGCTTACTCGCCCCCAGATTGCAATGCTGACAGGTTGAAAGCAAAGCCAGTCGTCAGTAGAAGGGTGCTATTTACTCCAGAGGAAGACTTTTTTCTAAAAAAAAGTTTGAAAGTTTATGGATTTGGAAAGTGGACGGCTATGCTTAAGGATCCTAGATTTAATTTCAATAGCAAACGGACCCCTGATTCTCTAAAAAAAAGAGCAGAACTGCTTGCTAAAAAGTGACTTAAATAATGACCTTGTCAGTATTGTAATAACCTTTCTGTTTCTTGTGTTAAAGATTGGTTGGAAATAAAGAAAAAAATTGGTTGGAAATAATTTTTTTCTTAATTGAATTATTGTTGTTATATTTAATTAAATTATTGTTATATATGTTATATTTTTCTTATATCTAACTTAACTAAATTGTTATATTTAATTATCAAAAAGTATCTGTTTTACACCAAAATGAGATTGACCTTGTTTAATTTCGTCAAAAGACACTTAAGTTTTCTCGCAAAAGCTGAGCAAATAGGAGCACCGATGATTTACAATGAGTTGCAGGGAGTAGGAGTGAGCCAAAGCTGAGCAAAGAAAGAGGCTGGTCTCTGTTTCGTCACATTACATCACTTTGGCTCACTCTAGCTCATCCCAACTCATTTGAACTCATCTTAGTTACTTGTCGCTCCCTGGTTTGGCGAGAAACTAAAGTTTTGATAGAATTTATTTGGTGTTGGTGATTTTTTCAGATTACGTTGGATCCCAGCCTGTGGTTGCTGCTGCTACCATTGACTTTTCTTAAACTTTTGATAAACATCATGATAATGATTTTTAGATGACTTCAAAGTGTTATGACGTAATAAAAGCTTTAGTTTTCTCGCAAGGGCTGAGCAACTAGGAGCATCGATGATTTACATTGAGTTGCAGGGAGTAGGAGTGAGCCAAAACTGAGCAAAGAAAGAGGCTGGTCTCTGTTTCGTCACATTACATCACTTTGGCTCACTCTAGCTCATCCCAACTCATTTGAACTCTTCTTAGTTACTTGTCGCTCCCTGGTTTGGCGAGAAACTAAAGTTTTGATAGAATTTATTTGGTGTTGGTGATTTTTTCAGATTACGTTGGATCCCAGCCTGTGGTTGCTGCTGCTACCATTGACTTTTCTTAAACTTTTGATAAACATCATGATAATGATTTTTAGATGACTTCAAAGTGTTATGACGTAATAAAAGCTTTAATTTTCTCGCAAGGGCTGAGCAACTAGGAGCACCGATGATTTACAATGAGTTGCAGGGAGTAGGAGTGAGCCAAAGCAGAGCAAAGAAAGAGGCTGGTCTCTGTTTCGTCACATTACATCACTTTGGCTCACTCTAGCTCATCCCAACTCATTTGAACTCATCTTAGTTACTTGTCGCTCCTTGGTTTGGCGAAAAAGTAAAATCTTTATGTGTAGCCAAAAGTATTTTTTGATAATATTTTAATAAAAGTCTTTAGTTCATATTGATTTTTATTTTTGTACTACGTATATTCTATATGATTGTAGTAATTCATCCCTTTATTAAGATTTATTGTCATCGAAGAAAACTTTTCAACTCAACAACATTTTTTTAAATATATAAAACTACAAGTTTATGATGAACTACAAGATATAAAAATTAATATAACTCAAAAGGCATTTGAAAACAAAGGTTTATTCTTCTTCGTCGCTTGATAACTTTAGATGTTTTCTTCGCCTTTGAACAATCATAGTTCGTGGACGCTTTTTTGGCGTTTTTTGCGTTTTAAAGAAGCTCTCGTCGTCACTGGCAGTCTTGTCATTATTTGAATCAATCGATTCGTTGATCGGCGTGGAAAGCTGACTGATACCACGGTACGTTTCCCTCAAGAGTTCTTCCCATCGAGGAAATGTTTCCGAAAACAATTTGATATCAAATTCTGGTCTTGGCGTTCCTTCGATGAGAAGCCAGGCATCATACATGGAATCGGGCTTTTTCCAGGAAAGTCGTCGTCTTCTTTGAAATCTTTCCAAGTCTTCATCCGTTGCATCCAATAAATCCCAGTTTGGTTTAGAAGTGATCAAAAGAAACACAGCTTTGTGGTATGAAAATACATTGATGGGCCCAAAAGTGACGAAACAGCGACTTTCCTCCCTCACCCAGTTCGGATTCTCATCTTCGTCGTCCAAGATGACCTGGTCAATAATTTCAGTAGGCACTGCTCCTTGAGGGTGCTCGGCTGTTGCTTCATCGTTTGCAATTATAATGCTCTGCGAGAATTGAAGTTTTTCTATTTCTTCAATGTTAATCATCCTGGATGATTGCCCTTCATTGAAATCGTTAAAAATGGCACCCTCATCATCGTGTTGCTGCTCCGCTCTTTCAATTTCCTCGACTTCCCACAATGGAGTGTCGCGTAATTCATTGGCGCACCAATGGAAGCATTGCATGCAGTTTTTCCTCAGGTAGTTTGTTGCCTGAGGATTTCTTTCCTTCAAAGATCTTGTTTTGAATACAGCCAATCGTGTCTGAATAGCAGCGTCATCGATTTCTGTAAACGAAGGTATTGAGTTGCATGTAATGTAAACCCCAGAGCGGTAAACGACATGCGTAGCTTCTTTGTGCTTCTGTGGTAGAGCAACATATCCTCCTTGCAGGATCCTTTTCGCGTCGTCTGCACTCAGCGCATCTGGTGGCCATTCATCGACAATCAAGCACTCCGTGTCGTCGCTGAGCATGCTGGCCGAAAAGTGCCTGTCTCTTGTTACCGAGGCTAACTTTTCCCTTGATATTATACCTTCGTATGGCGCAAACCAGCTTGTCTTGCCAGAGTCAGCCTCGCCGACGCAACACAGCTTCTTGGCCTTTTGTGGAAAGCAATCCTTCAAGGCAAGTTGGTACCATTTTTGCAGGAATCGTTGTAAAACATCGTGCTCGGAAAAGCTGTTTTGCAGGCTGTCGATGAAGATTTTTGGGGCTGGCACAATCCCTTCTTTGTATGTGTAGCTGACATACGTGCGAGGAGAGACATTTCCAATTTCCTCCTCTCCAATTGACTCTGTATGAAATGTCTTGGTAGCGAAGTTAAAACACACACCAAATGGTTTCACCTCTATGAGGTTGTAGTTAATTTTCATTTGTCTGACAATCTGGCAACCTTTGAAGGATAGCAAGCCAATGACTGCCTGCAGGTTTGGCGTGACAACGTCAGCGACTTCGGAATTTCGTAGCAATGCATGCACAAATTCATGCACAGTTCCCGCTTTGACGAATGTATACTTTGCTTCGTTTACTTTTCTGTAAACGAAGCCTCTATGCAGCCTCATCGTCAATTTTTCCATCGAGCGCCGTATCATGTCCACTGCACGACAGATGTTGCTCTTCGGTTTGCAATAAAGTCCGACGGATGAACTTGCCGAAGTCATAGACGCATTGTCTTCTCGCAAATCGACCAAGTCATAATCAAACTTTGTGTACTTTATTTTGTCCAATGCTGCAAGGAAAGCGGTACGAAATTCCTGTCCACAGCTTCCTGTTACTGTCACACGTACTGTTTTGGTACCGAACTGGGCATTTTTTGGAATCTTTTCGTTGTCGACCGAAATTCCAGTTTGTGCATGAATTACGGTCTTTGTGTATTCGTACGCGCCTGAAAAGCAAAACGATATGAAAGTCAACCAGAACCATTGGCAAATGCAAAGGTGCTTTTTCTTAGGTGAAGCATTTTACAGATGAAAGCGTCTCTTAGATGAAAAGATGAATGATGCTGGGCATTTTGTAAAGACATTATAGAGATCGAATGTGAAATGTGCATACCTTTACTTGCAAGATTCATTGCATAACCCAGGTTGTGATCTTTGATGACAGTGCAAAGAGTCGATGCATAGTATGAATTTGTTTCTTCACAAGCCCTGGCTCTTATGGGTTTGCATTCCAAGTCAAGGCCGGACGTTAAAATCAGTTGGATCTGATTTTCGATGGTTTTGATATTTGAGCTTGGAACGTCAACCACTATCCAGAAGCTTATGCCAGGTTTGACGTCCAAAGGAACCACATCTGGTTTTGCTTGGCTGTTTTCGCAATCGTCCCGTTCGGTTTCTTGGGTTTCTTCCAAAATATCCGCTGTTCCCATCAATTGCTGCCCTTCATGGGATTGATCACTTTCAGTTTTTCCTCGGCTTTTCCTCTTTTCGATGCCAGTTATGCAACTCCATATGACGATTATCGAGTCGTTTCGCTGTAATAGCATTTCAAGCTGCCTTCGCTTCAAGGCGATGAGACTTTCAGCCTTTCCTTCATCTCTTTGATGCACGTTCCAAAGAGCCCGCAGACTAACGATCGAATAAGAACGAGCAACTACGGGAACGACAAAGGTTTTTAATGCTTGTGCAAGAGTTTTCGAGCTTAGCCGTCTAGCTGGCCTGAGCTCACTCATTTCAAAATTTTCTATCACAGCGAACAATCTTCAAAATTTTCTATCAGAGCGAACAATCTTCTGGATATACATATATATATATATATATATATATATATATATATATAAAAAGAAATTTTATTTAATACAGGTTAATTAGTTAGGTGGAGTTCTATTGTTCATGAGATAAAACTTGTTTTCGTGTCGGCATTTGGAGATTAATTCGGATCGTTTGTTTAGAAGGGTGTTGTTATTTGCTTTGATGATGTATAGTTTTTCTGTTAAGCATAGGTCACACCTTTTTGTAATGTTGTTGTATGGTTTGGCTGAGGTGATGATGGTCCATTGTATGTCATAATCCTTGTTTTTGTCTTTAAGTTCCCAGATGTATTTTGATAGTTCGGTACTGTTGGCGTATTTTCGGTTGCGGAATGAGAGTTTGTGTTGTGTAAATCGTTGTTTGAAGGTTCCTTCTGTTAGGCCAATGTAGTTTTTGCTGACAGTGTCTTCGGTTGTGGTGATATGTGCGTTGTAGATGATGCTGGAAGAGAGGCAGTTGTTGTCTAGTGGGCATTGGTCTTTTTTCGGCAGTTGCATGTTTTCTCGTTGGTAGTGGTGGGTTTGGTGTTGATAATTTTCTTGTTGTGTTTGTTGATGATAGTTTGCATATTATCCATACAGCTGTAGCTGACTTTAACGTTGTTCTTGTTGAAGATCTGATGGAATTTGTGATTCTTGGGGAAGTGTATATGTATGAGCTTGAGGAAAGTTCTGCCGATGTTAGTTTGTACATTCTTGCTGTATGGTGGGTTGTACCAGATTATGTTGCGCTGTCTGTTTATGTTCCGCTGTCTAACGAAGACCTAGATGCATTTGAGTCTGATTTACTCAACATGATCAAGCACATCAAATTCAGGAAAACACACGACCAATTTCAAGACCAGCTACGCGAAGACATCAAAAAGATCAACGCCTCCACGAAAGCCTTCATCCCCGCTGACAAAACAACCAACTACTACAAACTGGATAGTGAACTACATGACAAACTACTAACTAACAGCATAACCACAACCTACAAGAAAGCAAACGACAGCGCCATCCACACAATAAACAACGAAGCATGGGAACATTGCCACTGAACTCAACATCCAAGACCGAACAGAATGTATGGCAGAACGACAAGCATTCATAACTCTAAAAGACCATAAAGAAAACTTCCAGAACAACCCCACCTGCAGACTAATCAACCCCGCAAAAAGTGAAATAGGCCGTATCAGCAAACAGATCCTTGACAGAATCAACACGACCATCAGAAACCAAACTACCCTAAACCAATGGAAAAACACTTCGTCTGTAATCAACTGGTTCAACAGCATACCAAACAAGCATCAACATACATTTGTTATCTTCGACATTGAAAACTTTTACCCCTCAATAACCGAAAAACTCCTTACAGACTCTATCTCCTTCGCCAAGAAATACTGCAAAATCACCGAAAAGGATACCAACATCATAATGCATGCCCGCAAATCACTCCTATTCAGCAAAGGAAATACATGGACGAAAAAAGACAGCCACATGTTCGATGTGACTATGGGGAGCTTTGACGGCGCGGAAATTTGTGAACTGGTTGGTCTTTTCATCCTCAATAAGCTGGGTGCAAAATACGGAAAAGACAACATAGGTCTATACAGAGACGACGGACTCGCTATCTTTAAGAACACCCCTGGTCCACAAGCAGAGAGAATCAGGAAGGACATTACAAAACTTTTCAAGACTCACGGCCTCAACATCACCATACAGACCAACCTAAAAATTGTGAACTACCTCGACGTAACACTAAACCTAACAAATCAATCGTATTGTCCATACAGAAAGCCCAACGACCAGCCACTATACATCAATACAAAGTCCAACCATCCCCCCAACATCATAAAGCACTTACCTGGAGCAATCAACCGTAGAATAACTGACATATCATGCAACGAAAGTGAATTCAACAAAGCCAAGCCCATCTACGAAAACGCCCTAAAAGCCAGTGGATACCCCGACACCCTAAAATACAACGACCACACATCACCCACACGTAAAAGAAGAAACAGACAAGCAAATAACAACACCCTTCTAAACAAACGATCCGAATTAATCTCCAAATGCCGACACGAAAACAAGTTTTATCTCATGAACAATAGAACTCCACCTAACTAATTAACCTGTATTAAATAAAATTTCTTTTTATTCATATATATATATATATATATATATATATATATATGTATAAAATTTGTCTTTTGATACTTCCGTAGCACAGTGCTCAATACGTTAGCACGTAGAGCGTGATATATCATAGATTGAAGAAAGTGAAACTACATGGTTTATCTCTACAAGCCTGTTTCGTGAGTAACTCACTCTTCAGGAAATGTTGATATACTGGAATATTCCTCGAATAAATAGATAATACGGTACAGAAGGTGTTACATAATGTGTAAGGTTATACAAAAGGTAAATTAGGGGCGGTACATAGAGGGATTTAGGTGTTACATAATAGTGTTTTGTTTCTATGGCGGCAAGAAGATACGAGTTCGTTTCGTTTGTTGAGTGTTGATAATTCGGGGTGGCAGATAATGAGGGTCTTTTCTTTAAGACAAAGGCTGCATCTTTTGTTTGAGCTGCTGTAGGATGGCTTTATTGAGAGGATGCGCCAGGAAATGGAGTGGTCGATTTTATTGTCTTTTAGGGTCCAGATGTATTTACTGAGTTCTGTGGAATTTCTGTGTTTTGCGTGACGGAAAGATGCGGTGTGATTTCTGTATCTTGTCTTGAATTCGTTTTCTGTAAGTCCGATGTATGTTTCTGTAGTTTCATTGTCTCTGCGTGTGACGGTGGCTTGGTAAATGACTGATGATTGTAGGCAGTTCCCGTTGAGTGGACATGTGTTCGCTTGTCGGCAGTTGCATGTTTTGTTGACATTGGTATTTTCCGGGGTGGTGCTGGTGTCGTCATTCATGCCATCATCATTCATGCCAAAAACTCCATCCTTGTTCACAAAAATCAACCATGGAAAAAGAAAAATAACACCACGTTTGATGTTACAATGGGCAGCTACGACGGTGCTGAAACATGCGAGTTGGTTGGAAGCTTTCTGCTGTCACAACTACAACACCTCGACATCAATGTTGGACTATACCGAGACGACGGACTAGCCATTTCAAATTCACCACCAAGAGTCACCGAAAATATCAAAAAGAAAATATGTCAAATTTTTAGCCACAACGGACTACGCATCACGATAGAAGCCAACAAACAGATCATCAACTTCCTAGACGTCACCCTCAACCTGAAAAAAGGTACCTTCCAGCCATACACAAAGCCTGACACCATCCTTCAATATGTCCACCGCGAGAGCAACCACCCAATAACCACAGCAAAACATATACCAATCGGCATCAACAAACGTCTGTCATCACTTTCCTCTGACAAAGCATCATTCGACCAAGCCACGCCACCATACCAAAAAGCACTCAACGAAAGCGGATACAAATACACCCTACACTACGAACCAACTTCGAATACCACAAGAAAAAACAGAAAACGGAGTAACATACTTTGGTATAACCCCCCATTCAGCAAAAACGTCAGCACCAACATCGGACACAGATTCCTCAACCTCATTGACAAACATTTCCACAAAGACCACAAGCTCAGAAAAATCTTCAACCGCAACACAATAAAGATCAGCTACAGCTGCATGAACAACATCAAGCAAGCCATTGACAGTCACAACAAACGCATCCTAAAGTCACACGACACCAGCACCACCCCGGAAAATACCAATGTCAACAAAACATGCAACTGCCGACAAGCGAACACATGTCCACTCAACGGGAACTGCCTACAATCATCAGTCATTTACCAAGCCACCGTCACACGCAGAGACAATGAAACTACAGAAACATACATCGGACTTACAGAAAACGAATTCAAGACAAGATACAGAAGTCACACCGCATCTTTCCGTCACGCAAAACACAGAAATTCCACAGAACTCAGTAAATACATCTGGACCCTAAAAGACAATAAAATCGACCACTCCATTTCCTGGCGCATCCTCTCAATAAAGCCATCCTACAGCAGCTCAAACAAAAGATGCAGCCTTTGTCTTAAAGAAAAGACCCTCATTATCTGCCACCCCGAATTATCAACACTCAACAAATGAAACGAACTCGTATCTTCTTGCCGCCATAGAAACAAAACACTATTATGTAACACCTAAATCCCTCTATGTACCGCCCCTAATTTACCTTTTGTATAACCTTACACATTATGTAACACCTTCTGTACCGTATTATCTATTTATTCGAGGAATATTCCAGTATATCAACATCTCCTGAAGAGTGAGTTACTCACGAAACAGGCTTGTAGAGATAAACCATGTAGTTTTACTTTCTCCAATCTATGATATATATATATATATATATATATATAATAATTATATAAATACCATTTGCGATTATTGTATTTAATTGAAAAAGGAAATTTTATGCCAACATCTCATCTCTAATAAGTTTAGTTTATAGGGTATCATGTACCTTATTCTAAGCCTTTCCTTTTCGACTGAATGTCGAGATATGTAAAGTTGGTACATGACCATTCTTATGCTCTTTACTATTAAATGTTTGCTAGTTTATTGAAAATTCATTAGGTTTTAATAGCCTGAAACCAATTATTCAATTGTTTGCTATGTTACAAAATTCAATTTTCATTTTAGCAAAGAAATTTAGAAAAAAGCAAGCAACAGCCAATCCAAATGAATCAAAAGACGTAAAACATAGAACTAATGCTGTGAGTTTATTTAGAAGGGAATGTTTTTATTAGAAATAACAGTTATTTAGTTGCTAAGATTTCTCTAGCGTAAAATAACAAGAACAAGTTTTGTTGTCCTACCTAATTAGTCCTATTCTTGCTATTGTACTTTCTATTGTACTTCCCTTTTCGAATTAGTGGGAGGTCTGGCAATGTATAATTTTCATCTGTCATGAGAACCCTGATCATTTTTTTCCTTTCTTTGATTTTTTTGAAAATTTAAATATGTGCTTAGTACTTAAGTAAAACTGGGCCTATTCAGCAGTAACTTTAGTTGTTGTTTGATTTTAATCATAAACCTCTCACATTAAGTTTTTTATTCTCTATTTATGCTTTGTAATATGTTTGCAAAGATGCCAATTCCAAATGTCTATTAATAGTGGGATTCATGTCTATTTTAGAAACCAGAAGGAAAGAAAAAGCGTGCATATCGTCTTTTAGAGCAGCGAATTCAGAGGGAGCGACAATTGGATGAATGCCGAAAAGGATTAGAGCTGCAAAAAAATTTGATGGTATGTCTTGCTATAGCTTTATTTTCTTTAAACTTTAACTAGAAGCCCTTTGATGCCGCCCAATAGAGGGGAAGATCATGGAAACCGCCCTATGACTGTCCCAAATTTTTTCGTTAGTCATAGTCATGGAAAAACAACTTCAAGGCTTCTCCTGTGTACAGTAACTTTATGCATAGCATATATGAGTTTATTGTATGAATGTCTCACTTTAAAGGCATTTGACATGCATAAGTACAGCGAATCCGAAAATAACTCGATCAGAGCATGCATGTTTGAAGGGAATTTGAAACTACTCACATGAAACCAGTCTAGGGTTTCGCCCATTTGAAGAAAAGCGGAAACTGTTCACGTGTTTTTGTCTGTACGCAATTTGATTGGTCAACCGCTAGGGGTGAAGTGTCTGTAAGCCACTTCTACCTGTGTCGAATGCCTTTGACGAACCTATCAATAATATGACGAGCCAGAATTTGTTACAAATCCTTTCAAATTGAAGGGAATTATATTCTTTTGTTTTTCAACAACAGATGAAATAATTCATTCTCTTACAGAAGCTTATCTCCAACAATTAGTCACTGTTATAACTGTCCGCCCATCAAAAAGTCATACATATTAGTCCGCAAAAAACCAAAAGCTATAATTTTTTTAATTTAAGAAGACGTTTGTTCGTGTCTTGTTATACACAACAAGAGTTACAACTCTTTCTCTAAATTTCAACTCAAAGTTTCAGCCTGAAACTCGAGGTTGCAGCTTAAAGCCGTCCTGATTTACACGTCAAAACCTTAGCTTACCCTCTTACAGATTTAGATATAAGCAGATTGACCAGCCCATTTAACTAAACTGATATTTTTAAATTTTTTGTCAAGACAGTGCTTTTGATATTACCTGCTTTCTAGTTTGAATAGTTGATAAATGATTCCCCTTTTTTCTTTCATAGGGAAAAGGTCGAAGGATTAAAATAAAGAAAGATGGCCATTCTGCTTTCAAATGGAAACCACAAAGAAAGAGGTGATCCAGAGTTGAGTTCTGGTTTGCTTCTTCCGTATTGGTTGGTCATTCTTGAAAATGGATCTAGAAGGACTCTTTTAACGAAAACACCTGGGACAGTCAGAAATCATTCAAGACGATGTGGTCAAAGTAAACGAGCTGTGTTCATTGATTGCTGTCCAGTGGGACTCAGAGTCTGCCACAATAAGACAATCCTGCTCTTTTGGAGCCTGCTTTATAGTTTCTTCTTTCATAGACCTCTAGAACTACTACAAATTTCTACAAAGCAGAAGCAGGTATTTTGCAGAAGCATTGAAAGTAATTAGTTTGAAGTTGCCTGATGAAGCCGATTAAAGTAGAAGCAGCAAAGTATCTTGTCAGTTTTTCCTTATGTGTTCAAAATATCTTGTCAGCTTTACCTTCTTCGTTTAAAATGTTTTTGTAATTTCCCTTTGAAGCTGATAACATTTCTTTATAATCATTTCATCCATTAAAAGCAATGTATTTGGTCTTTCTCTAACATTAAATGTGTAAGATCTACTCTTGTTATTGCCAGTGATTGGTATTTTGGTTCAACCTGGACTGAAGATAATGCTCAAACTTTGGAGAAATTTTGAAAATTTAGCACCTGAGTGTTTCTCCTTCGTGAAAAGTAATAAATTTCAAATAAAAAGGTGAATGAATATCCAAAAGTGAATTTTGCGAACCTTCGTATTAATGCTTCCTACAGTTCAGAAAAAGATTCAGAAATCATTATCTTGTTTATTTGTGCTGTGATTTACACTCAGCCTGACTTATGTTCTTTTTCTGATGTCACAGGCAGTTATTTGTTTTAAAAAGTCGTTGGATCTCATAACAAAGATGATCATACAAAATTATCAAAATTAAAAGCTGTGGAACCAAACGCTGTGTAATCCTTATAAGAATTACAGAACTAATGATTTTTATGATTTGCCCAAATTCGAAAAAGGCCCCATCTCACATAGTAAGCGTATACATAGACGTAGGGGCCGGGCAGATGAGAACTTGCCCCCTCCCCTCTACTTTCCAGAGACAGGGATTAACTGCGCATTTGTAGCTTACGGAAGCTGCTTCTCCTCTTTACGCACACGAAGTTAGTACCTCGGTCTTTTTGTGCAATATAGGCACAGTGTGTGGTGAACCCAATCAATGTCAAAAATTGTAGGCAGTATTTTGCCATCTTCCCTATCAACTTATAGTTTTTGTTTTGCAAACCATGCAAAGTGACATCAACGTAGAATGACAACATCTGGTTTAAAAGGCTGTAGGGCATGAATCTTATTATAGAAATTTCTGACTCTTAGAAACTGTTTATTATTACATTTCTCCCTCTGATGCTCATGAAACTGACAGATCATCAAATAATTAAAAGTCGGTTCAATTTTTCAGGGCCGGGCCTAGGAGTGATTCGCAAGACTAAATGCTTCCCCCTCCAGTATCTCGGAGAACTGAGAAAACGACCATTTCAGGTAAAATTGTTGAAAAAAAATTTAGGGATTCTCAAAAAGTCGTTTTTTGCTGTAAAACTTACACATGAATTGATTCTATCATATAAGAATAAGACTATTTCATGGTCAGGGGTGGATTTAAGGGGGCAACTAAGGGCAGTTGCCCCATCCTCACTGAGTTGAAGCAAGTCTGGCGCCCTTTTTTGGAAATGGTTTGGCACAATTATTGTGAAAATTTTATTTAGTATGTGAATAGAGGCTACAAAGCGTACCCTTGTATATATCGTACCTGAAATTGTTGTATATAGCGTACTCTCATCACCGGTTTCTGAAATTTTTTCAGCGCCCCACTACCAACTGCCCCTTTTTCAAATTTGTTCTGGGTCCACCCCTGGAGATGATGTAATAAGAATACTAACACCAATCAGCGAAATACGAAAAAGTTCGCGCGTGATATGCGCAGTGAATTTTTGCTGGGAATTTTTGCGAAGAATTTCTCTGCGAAAAATTTTTGAATTGAGTTTAAGTCAAATCTATTGTGAGAAATCGTTCAGCAGCCAATCATTATCCGTATTGCTTTTTCAAGCTTCCAACTTGAGGAATTTTTTCGCGTGAAGTATTTCGTAGCGAAATTTCGCAAGACTTTTTCTCACTTGAGATTGGACTGGGTTATACGGGCCTCGGACCTTTTGCCCCTCCTAAACTCCCTGTGCTCCCTCTGGATGCTTCTGCAGTTATTTTTGAGTTAATAAGACTTAAAAAACTAAAGCCAAGAGAGCCAAGCCCCTATATTCGAACATTTTGATCAGGTGATGGGCTTAGATTTTTCATGTAGGGTGGATTGATGATAAAATAAAATGAAGTTTGAGAAGTCAAAATTTGCGATAAATTACTCGATAAATTTGAAATTTGGAGCCTATCGATAGAGAAGGCAAAGAGGTCAATGTCCCTTTTTGCCTCTTCTATGGCAAGCCTCGTTTTGCTGGTAACCAAGCAACCAGGTTCGTAATTTGGCTGGAAAAGGGCGACTGAAGTCATGAAAGATGGTTGAAAGAAAAAATGAGCATTCGAGTTAACACACATTCAAAGGCTTTGGAAATAGATCTTTTGTGTATTTGGTTTTAATGGTATTTTCAAGTTAACTGCTTTCGTTATGGAACCACCAGAAAATCGGCAAGCTAGAAACAGTGCCGATTTGAATGGCAATATTGACTTGAACAAATTTACAACGCTATGTTCTGAATTGGAGTGTGGAATGTCCAATACATACAGTGCGTTGGATGAAGTTTTGGGTTTAAAGAACATATTACTTGAACAGGATCTTCCAAGTGCTGTGAAGGTGAAGATGACGTTAGCTGTTGGCCGTCTTCATCGAAGTATTTCAGACATGAGTGTTCCTATGGGTGAAGTGACAAGGCTGGTTAGATTGTATGCTGTACCATGGGAGAATAAAAGTAAGGCCTTGAAAAAGCTTCATCAAGATTACGAAAGCAAACAACATCAACTTGAGATTGCCCTGAGAAGGCTAGAAATTGTTGGTGTCCAAACTATGCGCATGGAAAGGGAAAGGAGGATAATGAACTGGGAGAAGATATTTGCAAAACTAGTTGGAGGGAAATCACATGGCCAGAGATGGAGGTTTCTAATTCGACAATTCAAGCAGAAGCTGAAGGATGGAGAAGATCTTGCAAATGTCTACTCTGCAGTGTCTGATGAAGAAGAAGATCATGACAGCAGTGACGTTGAGGAGGAAGGGAGGTCTAAGAAGCAGCTGTTTGCACAAGAGTTGAAAGCTAAGTTACGACAATTTGATGGACTTCAGGAAGTCCTGTCTCCTGGTCGACAGACTTTGAAAAAGGAGCAGGAGAGTGAAAACCCAAGAAATTCTTTTATTGAAGAAGAAAGCGAAGCAAGTATAAATATAGGGAATTCAGATGACAATTATTCCACCACTAGCAATGAACTGGACTCCCAACATTTGTCCTCTTCACAAACAAGGAAAAAGGTGCGATTTGATGAAACAGATGGCAATGAGTTGCAGAAAAACCAGTTAGGTGTTTCAATTTTAACAGGAGCTGATAAAAAGAAAGAAGTTGGGTCACAAAGGGTAGAAATGATAGAAAAAGAATGCTGGACACATGAACCTGACTTTGAAAAGTTATTTCATATAAGACTGTTTAGGCCAAAGTGTAAAACACTATCATCATCTTGGTGTACTGTTGTGTTTGATAATAATGTGAGGAAAAGTCAGGTTTTTCCTGAAATGATTGAAAACGTTACAACTCAAGAGGATCAAATGCCTGTTAAAGAAAGTGATTTAGAAGAGAAGCCAGCTACAAAAGCAGAGAGACAAGCTGAGTTCCAGTTAAAGGAGAATGTAAATAATAAACCAGATGAGAAAAGTAGAAAGATTGACAATTTTGAAGAGTTTAGTTTCAAATTGCTTCCGGACTTTGAAACACGGAACAAAGATGAGATTTTGTTGAAATTTTCTGTTCATCCAGCTAATAAAAAGACAATGATTGCAATGGCTAGTGTTAAACTCTCTGATATTAGAGCAATAGACAAAGAAAATATAAACATAAATCAGCAATTTGATGAACAGCTAGAGCCAATCAAGTTGCCAATAAAAGCATCAATCAATAATTCTGAGCTGATTTTCAATAGAACTTGTGGTGAAATACGCATTGTTTGTTATTATTCCAAAGTGATTTTGCCACGAGTTATCACCAGAGCAACTGAGACATTATCCATTGAAGAGCTGACAAACAGAATAATTGAACTAAGAAGAAGGGAAGATTTAAAGAGGCTGAAAAGTGCTGGAACCTCCATGACAGAGAAGCCAATCTATACAGAGGAGCAAATGAAGTTTGCAAAAGAAGAGTTAAAGCAGCAGTTGAACAACTTGAGAGAAGAATATGAGGAAAGGCTGAGTCTCATAATTTCACAACTTAGCAGGGAAAATCAGGAAAGCTTAAGAGAATTTGTGAATGCTGCAACATCACCTTTGTTTATGTGGTCAGAATCCCCAACAACTGATTATCCTAGTTGTGATTCTTTCAGCCAATCACAAATCCAGCCTGTAAAACCATCCAAGAGCAAATCAACAAGGAAACAGTCTAAAAAACTTGACAAGAAACAACAAGTTTGGGGAGAAAATTTACCAGAGGATTTTTATGAAAGAATGGAAATGTTTAGAGAGGAGAGCTTCAAGCATCACCAAAAGCTAAAAGAAAAGATCACCGAAGAAGTTAGCAAGGAAATAGAGAAGAAATTAGCAAGCAGCTATAAGCTTGATACTTCACAAAAAGATGGTAAAGTTCCAGAGGAGGTCTGCTTGCCTGCATTATTCATGCCAACAAAATCCAGAAACCTCTACACTCCTAAGGCTAGATCATACTTTCATGCATTTGGTACATACAGTGGAAGGATAACACAGCCCCCATCCATTCTGCAGTTACCAAGGCTTCAAAATGACAATGCAGATATTGTTGGTATATATGAATCAGTCATGAAACAAAAGATGGAGAGTGTGCCGGACAGAGAAAATGACACTGATTTGGGGGGATTCTCTCCAATGTCATCATCTTCTATAGAGCTTACAGGAATTGAAAAAGATCGAGATGAGGACCTTGAAAATGCAAGTTGATTTGGTATCATCATACTGAGGTAACTTTGAAAAAATTCAAACATTATGAAGAATTATCTTCAGAAGGATTTGAAAACATGGCCAAAAATCTAGAAACTGCAAAACAATATTTCCCACTTTGTGCTGCTTGGGTTTGGCACATGATACACTTTTTTATAAGCTTACTTTTAGGGGGCTCCTCTACCAAACTGATTTTATAGTTAAGTTTATAGTTTGGCAGTTTAAGTTTACTACCAAAAGTTTATAGTTTGGCAAAGTTTTACATTAATTTGGCAAATAACACAATTAGAACAGGCTGGTATCTACCGTAAATCCTTGAATTGCCCCCCCCCCTCAAACAAGTCCCCACCCTAGAACTACAAATTGTCAATAAGCCCCCCCTTCTCGAATAAGTCTCCACTGCTACCTTGATTTCTCGAATTGGACCCCTCCATTTGATGATTGTTGCCATCTGAGGTTGCCATTTTATTGAATTACCACAACAAATTCATACTTATGGTAGTAATTAATTAAGTGCTCATAAAGAAATTCCTACTTAAATAAACAAGGTATTTTAATAATGTCTTCTTAATGTCTACAATAATTTTATAAGCCCCCCCCCTTGTATAAGCCCCCCTCACTCGAATAAACGCCCCATCCAAAATATCAAAAATAAATAAGCCGCCAGGGGGCTAATTCGAGGATTTACGGTATTTGCTATTTTCAAGAGGTGAAGGTTATCATATTTTTGTAAGAATTGTTCTATTTTTAAACCAAAGTGTTAATAATATGTTGATAAAATAATAAATACTTTAATAAATCTGTAAGAGATACTTAGGTCTTTAAATTTAGTACTTAGCATTAGGGTAAAGTACAGTTTAGTTGAAAGAGATCCAAGGATGGAATGAAATATAAAGAATATAAGGCCTAAGAGGAAGGGCACATCTTTAAATTGCTCCTAGGCAATGTCAATGGTAAGGTAGAAGGGATATCTTCAAGGGATAAAGGACTTCAGAGCAGTAGCATGCCAATGGTTAAGAAGATGCATGCCTCTGTTCAACTTTTTCTATCAGAAATAAAAAGTATAATTCCCAGAGCTGCACCACAAGTTGAAGCTGCACTCAAATATTGGATTCTGATTGGCTGACTTGCAAAAATGTAAACAAAGTCTCTGATTGGCTCTTTGGCAACTTCTGCCCCCTCTGCACACATACTAGTCCGTAATAAACCCCTAAAATTGTGGAAACAAATTTGGATCTAGTTTCAAGCCCAGGTGTGCAAATAACTGTGCCATTTTCAACAGTTGTAACTTTTAATCAATTATGAAAACGTTTTTTAAAAACACAATCAAAAAATATTTTACCCTTATTCTCTTACTCAATCAGCCCCTTCCCCCTTTATGCAGACATCCCTTATTGAGAACCCCCCTTTCCTATGTGAATAGCCCTTTTTACATTCTCAAATAATGTGAAGAAGAGGTTGAAATATTGAACCTTGTGGCACTCTACATTTTTTATAACTTTCTTAATATTACATAAATTATGTAGCTTTGTACAAAATTTAAAAAATAAATGTGAGAATAAAGTTATTTGTCTTTATATCCTGGTGGCTTTCTGTAACTTTTGTTGCAAGTCAGATAGTTGAACTTGAAACCCTCTTCACCATAATGGTTTTCTACTTTTGTTATCCTTGGTCTAATAAGTTCTGAATCAACTTTCAATTCTTTTTTGAACTCATTCAGCAACGATGGAGAGAGGTAGAAATCCACAAGAAAGTATCTAGAATAAAAATAAACAAGACTTTTGCTAGATAAACTACAAATCGATTAGTAATCGGAAAATTTGTTGCACTAAAAGATCTCAAGAAAATAGGAATATTTTAACTGTCTTAGCTTTTTGACTTTCGAACTTCTGTCATTGAAAATTGTAAAAAAGGAATTTTTAAATTTTGGTTGTTATACTTTTACAGGTAACAAATTGATAACAGGGTTCATTTGCTGTATTTTTTTTTCATTCCTGTATAAATATTTGAATTATTATTATCAATTGTTAAAACATAACACATAACTTGTTTGAAATAAAATTTATACAGATTAATGAGTCAGAAAATTTTTTGCACTAGAAGTTTTTTTGAAAATGGCCATGCTCAGTGTTTTCAACGCAAGAAACTGCAGTAAAAAACCATGGCATCAATCACACATAACCGTTTATAATAAGAACTGTGAAAAAATAGGAACTGGCTGTTGTAACATAAGTTTTCATGTATTTGGCATTGTGCATTGTGCATCAGACAAACCGTATTCCTTGTGCATGACAATAGTAACATATTAACAGTATGTAGAATGACTTTGTCCTTAGGATTCAACTTATTCAACAGTGTGAATTTTGAAAGCATAACCCTCTGAAAGCAAGCAATTTCTTGGGCATCTGGCTTGTGAATTTTTTTTATTGTATCTTCTAATCAACAAGCTGCCTTAAAAGCAGGCATGTTTGCTTCTAAATTATAATTTCAAGAAATGATTGTGCATGTGAATGCATGCTAGGTAGGATAACCACACTGTATTTTGTTAATTACCTTCCATGGGTAAAATTCTCAGCATGTGCTCTCATCTTGTATGGAAGTTCTTGTTCACCTAGATTTTCAATCTTCCTCACAACACCTCCATTGTCCATAATCCAAGTACATGTTCGATGCAAGAGATTTCTAAAACCATCCTAAAAGAGTGAATATTTACAATTCAGTGATTGAATTTTAGGGCACATACTAAAACTGTGAAATAACTTTTCAAAACTCTGAGAAATGAAAGTACCCTAGCAAGAAAAGATTTGTTAACATGCTTACATAAATATGGTAATCTTTCTCTTTGATCCCTCAAAAGAAGCTAAGCTATAACTTACATCATAAATGTGTATACTTTGTTAAAAACAGTTCCATCACTTATTCCTCACTGTTCCATCACTCTGTCAAGGTGACATTATTATATCTTAGATTCATTGTCTCCTTAGCTAATCAAAAACTCAATCAAAAAAACCCATTTACGCCCATTTTAAATGATATTAAAAACATATTCCATATGCTTCAACTTTCACAATTACTGTAGTTCTATGTCAGTAAAAACAAATGAGAATCAAAGCTAAGGGCAGAAAGTCTAGACATTAATTTAACTATCAATTGGATAAAAAAAACCAAGTGGCTTGCCTCAGTAATTCTAGAGTCAACACAATTTTGAAGGACAGGAAAAATATGTTGTAAAAAATCCTTTCATTGGCCATGACAAACAGGGGAGTTATTGAGTGAAATTCCAAAAAACACATAAATTATATTAGGATTGCCAATTGCAAATCAGGAATGCCAAGGCAGCTGAGTTGAAGAAAGTGTGCTTGATTTTAAATGAGAAAAGAGAGGTCAGTGAGTTGCTCAGCCAAAGATGATAGTGGGGAGATGACAATAAAACTTTCAAATTACCAGCATTCGAAATTACCATCATGTTATGGTATGTTATGTTATTTTATGTTAAATGTTATATGTTATGTTATGTTATATGTCATATGTTATGTTATGTTATGTTATATGTTTTTATTTTATTTTGTGTATCGAATCAAACTAAAGCAATGCAATTCTTCCGTGTTTTTTTCATATGCTATGTCATGTTATCTTATATTATAATCATAAGCTAGATAGATAGGCCTAAGCTATTATAATAGCAGAAAATGATTCCCAACATAGTGCTCCAATGAAACCTCTTACTTTATTTAATATCCTGGAAATCATGGAGAGCTCATATCTCGGCATTGTGGAAACTGTAAGTGAATAGATGACAACAAGCTCGCACTGCAAGTCACTGTGCTTTAAGTTCAAAAAAATTCCAAAATCATTTTAGGCCAAGGTAACCTCGACATGAAAAAGAGAATAATCGATTCGTGAGAAATATGGAGTAAGGACAACAGCTTTCGAAGTCGTGCAGAGTCAACCCAACAATTTTCCTGTTTACTAGGTGAATTTTCTAGATTTGGTTTGTTTCTGTTTCTATTCTTTGTTAGCATTTCCTAAATTTCACTCTCGTAATGTGCTTTAATGACGCAAAATATCGTAATGAACGTCTTTCAGAGACCTTCACATTTTTGTTTGTTAGTATCGTCATTCATATCGCCTTTTGAAGAAATCTTCCGCTCTTTTCATAATGTCATTTTTTAAAAACATGCATCAATCATGTATTCATTTATAAAATTCCCGTTCTTCACCAAAGGGCCATAAACCTAAAGTCTAATTGTCAGACTTCGAATACATTTTTCCAAGAACAGTAGAACGGGCAATCAAATCAAAGGGGATAGTTCAGGTCAAACTCAAACTCAAAAAATATTTTCACAGAATTAGCAAGTTAATTAAATGATCTTGTATAGAAAACTGGATGTATTTATTTCAATATGATTATAAGATATTTTTTAATAACGATATGCAATGGCATAAAACCTGTAGGCTAAGATCACATGAAAAAGATCTCTTAAAATGAGCTATCAAGCCATGTATCCAATTGAAGTACTGGAGATTCTACATGCCTCTGTGATTTAGTTTGAATACTCAACAGTAAGAAATCAGTTATTATAAATCAGGATCAGAAGAGACTAACATACATATTCAGAAATTTTGTTCAAGGAAACATTTTATTCTATTTGGAAAATAGTGCTAACCAGGATCAGCAGAAAATACTGTTTTCTGCAAATCAAGAGCTATCTATGTTTGCCTATTATACATTTATTTAAAAGAAATCCCTGATTTTAAGCTCTGTCTGTATTTTCTGTATGAATTTTTACAAATGTTTAGTCAATTTAACATTCCCTTGATTGCAATGGCAAATTAAAATGTTTTGTTTACTAGATTCTAATAGCAAATCAGTCTAACAATGGGCCAAGGAAGCTCTAGCAGGCACAAAACAACAGATTTTTCAAAATCAGAATCAACCCTTGAATTTGAACCTGGAAAGAAGCTTATCTCTCACAGTCAACAATCTTTTGAAAGGAGCACAGCACCATTTGATAGAGGTACCCAGATGATTTTATAAACAATCAGTATTGTATCTCATTTCTTTAAGGTTAAAATTACTTTTTATCAGTCTGTCATAAAGTGCTCAATGCTGCATAGCCAGAGCTTTAGACCCTTTGTATACAACAGGAAGGCTCTAATTTGCTAATCTTGAGCTTCAACATTAATGCGATCACATAAGGCCTGAAACTCAGAGTATCAAGTTAGAACCATTCTATTCTAAATACCAATCATATTATCTTCTGTAAGATTTATAACCCAGAACTCTGTGTTTTTCACGAGCAGTTTTGAAATAAAGGGAGAAACTACCAAGAAATATATTGTACTAGTTCAAACTTGTCCCAAGTTCATTCTCAGCCAACATTTTTTTTCATCCACAGAAATCTTTAATCTAAGCAAGCACCTCTTTAGGATTTTGATACTAAGTATTTATTGGTTGGATCATGCTCATTTATGATTAGTTTTCAATTATGTTAATTAGAAGTACGGCCACCACCAAGTGTTGTGTCAGATGATGATGATGATGACTTCTCAAAGCCTGGAAAGCCAAGAAGAAGGCTGACGGTTCCCACAGTTTTCAGATGGGAATATGGTGGAAAGGAAGTTTACTTGTCTGGTAGTTTTAATGAATGGAAGACCAGAATACCCATGTCTTACGGGTACTATTATCCATAATTTGCCTTTGAAGTGCTAGATTTTAAAATATCATTAAAATGCAGAACCTTTGTGATATCATGGTCTAAATATCAGAATGTCGAAGTACTAAAAAGTATATTTAAATTTTTTTAAAATTATCAAGGCTAACCTAATTTTCTTGGCAAAATTTTTGCTCAACTATTAATCGAAATTTAACCAAACTTGGATTTTCAAGTATTGGATTAAACATGATATAACTTCAGAATTTTGTGATATTTTGTGATTTGCAAAATAATCTCATATCTCAAACTTTGGCTTATTTAAGTTAGAAATCTATGAAAAGTTTGACCTTAAAAAAAGTTTATCATTTCTGCTTTATTTGCCACAATAGGACAGGTTAGCAATTAAAGTCCTCCTATTTTTGCCACATTATGAAAGCTACTCTTTGAACTGATCTGTAGAGCAAATAAGTACTCACATCAAACATACGCTTCCCTGAAGATAGCATTTAAACATTAAATGCAACATAGAATTATTTTTTCCCTGAATGTTTACACCTGATTATGTGCATTTCTATAAGTGCTGATATTCTGATGAACATTACTGTCATTTATTCCTCAAAGTAGGTGTCTTATATTTAAAGAAGCAGTGTAATGTTAGCTGGTATTTAGTTCATGGATTCTGAGATTGTGGTCATTAAAGAGAATCAACAAACATGTACCCTAATGTTCTAAAATAAAATTCCACATTATGATCAATATGAATTGGCATTGAGCTGTATCCAAGGACAAAATTGTATGGGATGTCTGGTCGCAAAAAAGAGTTCTATCATGATTGGTTGCCTATTAATATATATGTAGGTTACCCACTTTTATATTCCTCCACTCCCTTTTATCAAGCAGTCTAATTGCATTGAGAAATCGATTCTTTATTTTCAGTGGTGGAGAATTTACAGCTATAATCGAGCTGTTAGCTGGTGAACATCATTTTAAATTTCTTGTTGATGGCCACTGGATACATGACCCAAATCAGGTAATTGTTTCAAATCATCCCATGATCTTTCAAGGTATGTTTTTATCAGATGTCTGAAATTAAGACAGATTGGACAGAATGTTGACATGATACTAAATAAAAACTGTTTGATTTTATATTAATTAGAAAGTGGAATACTTATACATACAACAGAGTGCAGCATTTGTGCTACATGGGGAAGAATCCCCAGTAAAGTCCCCAGTTACCAGATAATTGAATTTTTCTAAATCAGGCCCCCTTTTGAGGTTAAGATCCTATTCTGAGGTCATGCCCCCCTTTACCAACACATACCCTCCACTTTTCAAACCCTTCCTAGGGCCAAGCAGAGGCAAATTTTTATTATAATCATGCTTGTCGGTCTGATTTGAGCAATTTTATAAAGATGTGCTTCCTTGGTCCTTCATTTCTCTTGAAAACTTGTAAAAAAATTTTAATGGACAATACAAAGTAGTAGAGGAAGAGTCTTTTTAACTTTCCCTACTTGACACATGCTTTATAGTGATATTCCATCTATCCATTGTGGCCTAGTGGTGTCGATTCAATCTTTTCGCACGTTTATTGTGATGATTGTGCGAAATAGGTAGGACCACAGAATAGAAATAGTCATTTCTATTCTGTGGTAGGACGCCTGGCCTGCATTGCAACACAGACTTTATAATGGCATCTTCATGAAACTTTAATTGATTGTTGGGAGCCCCGCGTGAAGCAGGGCGTTCGAAAAATTGCTATAGGCTCATCAAGTTGCCCTCCTCCACGGAAATCTTTAGTAAAAGGCGAAAGATTTGTGCGGTTTGAAGGAAGACCAGAGCGTGAATTATGTATAGCTTACTGCTGGCCTCTTTTATCAAACGAATCGCGACGATTAAGGGTAGTTTTATGCGCATGCGCATTTGTGTACTTTTTCGAGAACAATAGAAGAGACTCAGAACGGAAAGAACCTGAAAGTTTACCAAATGAACGCATGTTTCATATAAATTAATGTTTCTCATAGGATATGGTATCATTATCATCATATTCTTTCAAAGTGCAGGAAGGTGACAATCTCATTGACATCAACAGCCGATCTCCATTTTTTCCTGTCTCGGCCGGTCATCATCCGTGTTTTCCCTTCAAAAATTTTGATCAGCTCATGCCACCCTTGCTTGATTTTAATATATTTACCATAGATGGTGCCCATGTGGGTATTTTATTCGCCCGGCGACCTGATTATTTCTGCTACGACGCCAACCCATATCAATTTCTTTTTTACTGTTCTTCTACGTAAAAATTATGCTACAAAAGAAACTTCGGTTGGAGTTTTAACCTTAAATGTGTGTTTCTAGGCAACTGTGAATGATACGTTTGGAGGCCGAAACAACGTTGTTGTCGTAAAAGACTCTGATTTTGATGCCGCAGAAGCGTTAGATGAGGATGCGGGAATGCAGAAGGGAAGCTTCGGCTCGCTTAGTGAGTACCTTTATCTATGTGATAAAACAGATAACGGATGGTTGATGTATGTAACATTTCATAAGTTTCCTAATAATTGCTGCCAAGAAACTTTTCGGCGATTACAATTAGGGGTTAGTGGAATGTTTGAGAAGTAAAATTTTGCCTCAAAATATTTTCAGTTTTCTGTTGACATATATTTACATACGAAAAATTGTTGTTGAACAAGCAAATAAGAAATTTATGTTTCGGCTATTTTTTGCCATCTTTAATTTTGCGGTACCAAAAAGATAAGAAACTGTTTTGCTAAAAAAACTTGCTGTGTTGTGCTTAAAAAATGGTCTTAAAAACATTAAAGGTATAAAAAGTAAAAGAATCCACCAATAGGCGGAGACTTTGGGGCTTGAGAATGGAAGTTGGTAAGTGCGAGTCAAGATCAAATAACATAGACGATGAAAGATGCACAAGAAAACCACCTTAGATCCCTCTTTCTACCCTCTGTCGTCGGCAGCCTCCATAAGCAATTGCCATTGATTTTTCAGCCCCCACCCTCCACCAAAATTTCGTGTAAAATATGCCACGTTAGCAGAACATCGTATTATTACAAAGTGGAAATGAAATGCCCTAGCGAAAAGTTTCTTTCGGAATAAATCACCTGAATTTAATTTTTATTGTAGCCAATTGGGCTCCTTTCCATGCCTAGATGATGTCAGTTCTTTTAAGGAGGCTAGATCACAATCACAATCGTTACCAAAAGTGGTGAACATCACAATATTCAAGTTCAGAATTTGACAACCCCAAGATTTAACCACAAACCCAAAATATCAACGCTGTCGCTAGCCCCAAAGTGAACAGTGTTGATCACTTGGTTTAAGGTCTTTGTACGCCCATTGCCAGTCAAATTTTTACAGGGAATCATTAAGTATTGAAATTGAGCAATATTTAAATGGGCATAGTGAAACAACTTGCAAAAAACTGTTAATACTAAGGATGTGTGTTTCTTCAAGTTACAACCGTTTGGTAAAGATCTGACTTGTAGTTTTTTTCCAAAATCGATGAAATGGCTTTCCTAAGTACAGTGGCTTACAGGTTGGCGTATATGTGGTACATGTTAAGCCTGGTATTGTATTTGTGTTAAACATGAGTACTCTGCTTTTATTATCCCTGTACCATGAAAGAACTATACAGTTAACAATGATTGCTTTCAATGTATAACTCCTGATTTCACTGCACATTTCATGAGCCAGGGAACCAATTCTGGCCAGGGAAAGGGTATTAAAGGCACCAGGAAGACCCAATACACGTGTCTCATCACCAAACTTTATTTCAAATTCTTTATTAGTATAATTCAATGTTGGATAATTTCACATATCTTCTCATAGCTTCTCACGGGCCTTACAAATACCACCAGATGCTAATTGGGCAAACAAATCCAATTAAAATTTTGTACATGCTGATTTTGATATTTGAGACATTCCTTAATGCTTTTTATTTCTGATTTTTCAGGACAAATTTCTCCGCCTGGCTCTTACGGTCAACTGATTCCATCCCATCATACACCGGTTGTCGTTCATGATACTTTACATTCTGCAGTACCTCCCATGCTTCCACCTCATCTTTTAAATGTCATACTTAACAAGGAGGCCATCGATCAGGTAATTTTTGTACACTAAGTATGATTTTTTACTTGTGCATCTTATGATCTACCTCATCATTTGTGAGTCAAATCTAACTAGGAGGCAATAAATGAAGTAAGTTCTCTATTTACCTACAGACGCATTTATAGGTCTCCTTCCTTCCAAAACGGCGGGTGTTACAAAGGAGACTTAGAGAGGGGCCGTCGCCTAATAAGGTGGACAAGACATAAAGTTGCTTTAGTTTATCGGCACAGGCCCGTATACACTGTTAAATAGTTATCTCTAAATGTGAGTGAACTATTAACTTTACCTTGGAAGCACGTTTAAACAATTCATTACCTAAGAAATTTAAGAAACATGTAAGAAACTTTTGATAGGAAAATGGCCAGAAAAATTAAGAAACTGCCTACCAGCACCGGACCTTAGTTTCTTATAAAAGATACATGTACAAATTCAAAGGAAGGACTTAAGTGTGAATATAATGATTTCTTCCGTTGTTATGACTAAATCAGGAAGGTGAAATAAGTGACCTGTTTAAACCAGGCAAGGTATAGCATTCTAATTTAATTCCAGTCTAGCAAGTAGGTGTGAATTCAACTGTCGTTTTTCAAAGATGAACGGTAATTCACTTGTCACAGATTCCGTCACTTTCTTAAAATCAAGTTTGTTAGGTTTTCCATTTGAGTATGAGCAGTAGGTAACCATACACGAACAGAGAAAACGAAAATTTGTACCATGTTAGGTCAGAGCAAATCGAAGAGGCGTTTAGCAACACAATCGTAGGAGATCTGAAGGCCATGATGTGCATATCCCCGGCAAACATCATACCTGAGAAATCACCGACCAAGTCACCTTCGACATCTGACTTAAAGGATCTTTAAACCCTAGTGCAATTCTATGAAAAAGATCTCTCCTCTCCAGAAACAGTGTCTCGAGAATATGAAAATCTTTAAACCCTAGTGCAATGCTCAGATTTGAGCGCTACGCCCGCGCGCACAAAAAATGTAAAATGGAAACACTTACTGCGTTTAACGCTAACTCTCCCAGTTTCATCAGCCCATGATGAAGGAGCGTTTAGCTGCTTGAAACGAAGTACTATGTCTAAGTTTCGACTTTCTAACTTTGAACAGGGGCTTCGTCAAAGGAGGGGGGGGGGGTTTGGAGTGGTGCGGTACCCCCCCCAACACTTTGTGCGTCGGCACATTAAGGATTTTCGCGGGGCAAAAGAAGCAATTTTTGTACTATTCCTGTAACCTTTTTGCAACAATTGCAACGTATAAATATTTCTGTAGTAGTTAAACTCGCAAAGTTTAACTACTACAAAAATACGTTGTACTATGATATTTGAAATAGAAACGCATAAAAAGCAGCATATAAAAGTATTTTCTTTTGACCACACCCTCAAAGAGTGAGACACGCCCTTTTTATCGGAAAAATTTACTTTTTTGCCCCTCCAACAAAATTTTTGTCTTCGCCCCTGACCTTGAATGTATCTCAGTTAACAGAGAAACTGTTGACCAAATTAATTTCAGACATTTGCAAATGCCTTTTTCAGATGACAAGAGGATAAGAACATTTGATTGGACGATTAATAAAACTTGACTTTGAATAAATTATAAAAGTTTAAGTTTAATTCTAATGGCCTTATGTTATGTTATAATATTGAAAAATCAAAATTTTTATCAAACTTTTGTCGGAAAATCTTGATTTCTTGGCCATACCCCCCTCCCCCCCTATGAATTTTCCTATCTACTCCCTTGTTCATAAACAGCTTAGGCCTTAGATTATTCTTAAGTGTTGCCTCTTGAGTAACTTCATCATTAACTCTTTCTGTCTCTGAGCTGCTGCTAACGTTATTGTTTTTGTTTAATCTTCCAGCAAACTTTAGATCATTCAGATACACCTCTAATATAAAGTTTTTCTCCAAGCAATTTTATTTGCTTTGTTTGTTTTTCAGGAGGATCTTACTTTGCTTCCAGTACCCCATCACGTCGCTTTAAACCATCTCTACGCACTTTCGATCAAGGTGAGATTAATTTTTAATGCGATTTTTTCAAACATCAAACATAACATTTAATCTATTGAAAGATGTAACCTGAACTTTTTTAGGCTAGATGACATTTGTAAAAGGAAAGGAACACTGCAACAGGTTGTCTGCCCGAATTTTAAAATGATGCAGTTAAGTGTAATGTATAGACTCAGTGTACAACACAATGCAAATCGGACAAATTCCAAGCAAAATAATTCCAGCATAATTAAATAAAGCGGTTTGCATGCAAATTTACAAATAAAATTACGCTTTCATGTGTAGAACAGGACGGATCAATTAATTTAACCAATACACTAATTGTTTTTATAAGAAACAGCTTATAAAAAACGGTAGGCTTAATTTTTCGAAAGTTGAGAAACAACCCGACCCAAGTTGAAAAAGCTAAGAAACTTTTATAATTTATAATTTAATTTTCCGAGTTGACACACGAAGTGTTAAAGCCCACCAGTAACGGACCTTGGTTTCTTTTGAAATAATACGTGTAAATCGCCTCGGTATCGTATAATTCGCCTATCCCCATTTTTTTAATATGATTTTGATAGCTTAAATAAATAATTGGTACAAAGAATGTCTGTAATAATGATGGATGGTGGCTTGATTAAACTTCAGCCTTCGCCAAGGCATTCTTTTTCACCCTTACGTACTTCAGACTATTTCATATGGATATAACCATGTTTTTATTACTTTCTTGCAGGACGCTGTGATGACGCTCAGTGCTACGCATCGCTACCGAAGGAAGTACATCACGACCGTGCTTTACAAACCTGTAAAATAGCTTTCTGAGTCCTGATATATTTGTCTGGAGTGCTGTATTGTATTGTATAATAGATTACGCTTTCTTTATCACGTGTTTTAATACATATTCTGATTAAAAATTACGAGTTTACGGGTCCGTTCTATTTTTATTCAAATTTTCTCTACCTGAGAAACCAATCTTGGTATGTTTGCTTTTATTGCCGCTGAAACTTTTTCTTGCTACAATTCGTTGATATTTTAACTGTTGCCAAAAAGGGAAATATTTCTAACTTATTTGGGTTCAAAGCTTTTTGCCATTAAACTTTTGTTCAAGGGTTTGTAAGAGCCAAAGATGAAAATCTCCTTCTCTACATCCTTCTTTATATATTTTATACCTATCTTATGTTTCCTTTTTGACTGGATATAATCATTAAGAGTACACGCTGATCTCTTACCAACGTTGTACATAACTGTACTCGTTTTAAGGTTAAAAAAGTAACAGAAATATTACTTGTTATAACTATGGTTAAGAAAACAAAATATCGCACATATAATTATCAAGTTCCCCAGACAGAAATAGCAAGAAGAAATTACTAAAGAAACGACATATCGATGTTTAGCTTCCTTGATGATATCCATCGTGGAGGAGCCCCAAGGAAACGATCCCCCCCCCCCCATTTTTCTTGAATGAAAATAGCGACTTCTAGCTAAGAATAAGTGGGCACTTTTTCTTGCTCATTAAAGTATATTGATAAGATCACTTGCGCGTTCTTCGAAATTATTTTCCCGTCTCTTAAAATTAAGAACTCGCACAGAATACTCGCTACGAATCTTCGCAGAGGCAGAAGATCTAACTTTAAGTCTCGAAAATCGATTTTTTTGAGAAATCGCTAACGACAGCGACACGGTTGCCTGCTTTATCTGCCAAAAATCAAGGAGCCCAAACAATAAAATGGACACCCCTGGAATCAACTGGCTCTTTCACGGTTTTCATCCTCCCACAACATGCGACTCTTCTTTTTCTCCGGCTGTTAGTGGCCTCTTTGAAATATACTTATCTCTGATTCCCATTCAGAAATTTCAGATGAATTTTTAACTTTTTGCAACGCGATTTCCGTCACAGAACGACAAGGTTTTCAAGAATGCAATTTTTATTATAGAAGTTTAAAGATAAAACTTGAGCGGATAACGTCTTTAAAAGAGTAGTAAGTTTAGATCCCTATGAGATAAAATGGCTTGTCTGCACAGAGGCTTATCCTCACGGACTGCAGGATTTTCGAAAACGTATTGACAACTAACGACACATTCCACCTATGGATGCAAACACGATTTTTCGGGTACCGTAGAGGGTTACATAACAATTCCAAGTAAAACATAAACAAGGAAATATGTTTATCAGTAACTTGGGAATTAACTGACGTAAAAGCAAAGGGAGTAAAGTATCATCCGATACAGAAACACCAGAGAAGTTTGAAAAAACATGAGCACTAATATGTCTTTAATATGATAACTATATACAGCGAACTATATACAACAAATTATACATCAGCGAGATTAATTCATTCATCAAGTTTCCGTTTTTGATTCTTTGGATTCCTTGATTTGCTTTTTGCTTTACACATTGGACAGACAGGAGCATTTCTATGTATCAGTTCTTGACAAGACGTGCATGATTTCATTGGGGGCCGTTGCTGTCGTCTTGGTGCTCGAGTTATGTGCAATTTCGTCAGTTGATTTGGAGGTATGAATGTTGGAGGTAAATTTGGATGATAGTATGAGCATATATCTGAGCTGTAACCTTCATGAGATGATGCTTCACCAACCGATTGTGAGGGCTGGCAAAAATTAGATTTGCAAGAGCTGGAAAAAAATAAAGAAGCAATTACAGATATTTCCAAACTACAATGTCTGCATAATTGATCAATGCACAGTGCAATAAATTTGCAAGATGCAGCAAACTAGCCTTTTCAACATTCGGTACAATTTTGCAAAACTGTTACCTTAGAAATCATGTTTTAAGCTTGTATTTTGAACTTGTATTTATCTGTTGATAATATTTGTCAAAAACTGCAAACAACAACTATAAACACAACACTCTACCTAATCGAAAAAGCCTTAGCGAGCTTGAGAAGAACTTCACCGAGCTTTCTAAAAACATCTAGAAGAAGCTTCTTAAGAGAAAGCTATTTGCTTCAGAACAAAACCTATGCATATTGGGTTTGGAGCAGTTTCAACTGCCTTGGTATGAATTTTCCTTCAGCTATCACTGCACCCAAGTAAATTAGGACAGAAAAAAGGAGCATAGTTTTACACAAAAATCCTACATAAGTTTCCAAGAGTTAGTTTCTTGGTGATAGTATTAAGCTTAAACACTGTGTTGCATTTTCAAACCTCTGTGATTTACAAATGAACGTTTAAAACATCATGCGATTTAAAAAACCAATTAACAAAAACTTACCTGTCAGCCTGAATAAGGTCTTTTTCCGGAATATCTTTCAATTTTGTCAATCCAATTTGCATTCTGTGTGCATCAATGTCATTTTTCAATGGATTGTACTCCTCAAACAAGAGATATGTTCTTTCCTGGAGCCTACCTCTTTCTTGATTTGCTTGCAGTACAGTTTTTTCCATCTGGAAGATTTAATAAGCAATGCTTTTCATCTCTTAAACTGTTTTTATAGTCATCTTTAAATTCTTATTTTATTGGTGTATATAATAGTTCATTATTGATACCTTCTTTAGATGTTCGCTTTTGTTGAAATTAACTAATTTGATTCTTCAAAAACAGACAAACTCAGATCTAGAACTTGTACAATATCTTAGACTTTCCATTATAGGAAAAGTTTTTCAAGTAGTTTATCTAAAATGGTAGTCATAAAATTGAACACAAAGACAGAAGCCAAATGCAATGCAGAAATCTTCAATGAATGGGGCTATACATACAAAAAAACTTTAAAAATTGGTCTTTGATTTGTGGTGAAACAATCATCACAACATACACTCTCTTTTTGTAAGAACAATTTTATAAGAACACAAGCCTCAAAATTGGTCAAAAGTTGAGAACAAATTAAGAACAAGCTGAAGCTGAGCTACTGTAAAATGCAACTTTGAACAATATTTTATCTCAAAAACGAGGATTTTCAGCCATTTGTGGGTGTTTAAGCTTGACGGGCAAATGAAGGTTGTCCCATTAACTTTTTTTGGTAATACCTCACTAGGGCAAAAAAGCTAGCTATCACACTGCTTACACCCTATTAATTTAAGAAAAAATTAAGAACAGTCAGCCTGAACTTAAATTTACTGTTTCTTATTAAAAAAGAGTGTAACACAAATTGTAGAGATAATCATTTTATGTCAATAGTAAAAAAGCTGCTTTGCTAACGACTATATATATCAAAGCACCAGGTTATCTGGCATGATTAAACCAACTGAAGTTGATACAAGAAAATGATAAAGATATACTGTCTCGCGTCTTACCACAGCTAGATTTCTTTCGATAAGTCTTAGTGATTCCACGTGCATCATCTTTTCTCTTCTCAGATGCTCAATTTCTGCTTTATAATCCCGAAGGTGTTCGTCCTCAACTTTGAATGACTGCAGCTGCTGCATTATTTTTGCCTTGAGCTTTTCAAGCTTTATTGTTTTCGATCTGAAGGATAACGTTTTATAAAATATAACCAAAATATTTACAGTTATTTCGAAAACCTATTTGTGACCCTAGATATTATACCTGCAAATTAGCACGAATTCGTTCTGTAAATCAAAAATAATAATAATTTCCAACTGACCTTATATCCTTTACAACATCAAGCTTTGCCATTAACAATCCCTCTTCTTCTTCTCGTGAATTCATTTTCTTCTTTCAGCTTCCAGGTCTTGCTTACCAACTTTACTACATGTGTACAGAGCGAAAAATTTAAATACTCTTGGGGAAACCTCGTTTTCTTGATTACCTCGATTTGAACCCTGATTTCCCAGGCGTTCAAATCAATCAGCTGTTTTCGAGATTTTCTAAAAATAAATTGGAGAACATAAGATAACAGAAAGATAGCAATGACAAAACAATTTCTTTGAACGGGGGTATCTATCTGCTACCTAGGATATGGAAGAAAGGACTGCGAGCTTATTACGGATTCAGGATGCTTAAAAGTAATAGAGAGCAAGGCAGTTTTCTGTATGGTTTCAAGTACATGTTGAATATAATTTGAGTGGGCTAGGCCGCCTTAGCACCCTTTTGCTTTCGCGGTTCCTTCTAGGAAGTGGGAAAAACCCTCTCAAAGATGACACGGTGACACACAAACTCAAATTCCCTGTGCCTGCCAAAAAGCCTCATTTCAGCTAATTAGTCAGCAATCGATAGAATCTATGAATATATAAAACAACATTTCAAGTTTTGATTTATTTTAAAGATTAATCGACTTCTGTTGTTAGTTTCATAGCCTTCATCGAAATCAACTTTTCATCACAAACAAATCTACCAACAATAAATATATCACAAATTGCATATTGTGACAAAATTTTGGGTTAAAAGCTACAAGCTCCAAGTCACACCCTAAAGATCAACTGCAATCAGTTGGCACTAAAGGAATCCCCAAATATTGTAAGTCTTTCGTCTGGACAACAACCTTGATTACTGGAAACCTTATTTCGAAAAAATTGGGGTTTGGTTGTAACACTTGAATTTCTTTCCATATACTGGTCTTAATTACGTGTACCCGCCATGACATCTAGATGCTCCGCCTCTGTTTGTTTGTTTGACACAAGCCCCCCTCTGCCGTAAACAGGACATCGTCTGGTTGTGTTTGACTTTAAAGCAAGATAAATCTGCAGCTCATTGCGTGGATAGTCACGCAGGTGCAGTTTTGTTAATCAAATTCTCGTATTCTTTCATATTCGATAAAAACCAGTGTGCCTTTGCAAATAAAATCAAAAACTGAAGGTCATTGTTTGCCGATTACGCGATTGTCGCTTCTGCCTAAAAACAGGTGTCAATTATCCAGAACTGCCGTTGTATCGACGTCGGTAAATTAGGATTTTGTACTTTCTGAAGACTTTTGAAGATGCAAACAAAAAACCTTTTTGAATTTTTACTTTTCTTTTAGATTTACGATAAAATCTTAAGAGCAAAATGCTTTCCTTTCAAAATTTTTATGCCTGGAGAATTGAAGTTCTCTTATAATTTGACATTTCCTTTATCCTTAGCTGTTCAATGAAAGAACTAACGCTTATCTATAGAATCACATTTTGAATAATACGGGACATGCTTCCTCTCAATTTCTTGACGTTCAAAATTTTCTATGAATCATTTTAAAGAATCGAGAAGTAAAAGGATTTATTCTGTTTGACCAATTTGCAAAATTATGACAAAATTACATATGCAATGCTGTAGATTCATAAAAGTGCATATGGTGAGTTTTCATATAATTTTAGCTGACTCACCTGCTGTGAATGTTAACCTCGATTTGATTTAAGTGCTTTAATTGTTCAAATCTTGCATTCCTCGCATAAAGATAAATCAAAACTGCTTGTGAAATTTATCCATCAGTGCCCATTAGTTTCAGATATCTCAAATTATTAATTTCAAAAAAGAACCATTTGCAGCTACTCTACTGCTTCCAGTTTAAACTGCCTGTTGGACAGATTACTCGCAGGGCCACACGAAAATGGAGCTTTTGAGACTCGAACTCTCCAGCTTTACAAAAAGAATTCTATGCTTTTTAAAACTTTAGAATGCATGTTACGGAATTTTTATTTCTACAATTAGTTTACAACATTGCAATGACGACCACAATGGGCATTAAAATACTGTGCCTATCGAATGGCATTACATAGGAAAACTACAACTACAAACGCTTTTACTTACATGCCACCCAGCGGTCATGCTGGCACCAGAGCATGTGACTGGAGCAAAAAATTCCCTTTTTGTCAAATTGACCAGTTTCATGGATGAAGCGCACAGTCAATTCAAGCAAATTTGTGTTCAGGTCATTTGGAAAGAATTGATCGCCATAAAATATAAGGTGTATCAAAACGTTAAAAGAATTTGCCAGAAGGATATGCGAATGATAAAATATGTTCTTATCACTAAGTTCTTGCCTTATTTGCGAAGCGCTTTCGACAATAAGCAAGTCGTAAAGTTTTTGGAAGAGACAAAATTTGACTTCAGTACTGTAACCCAACAAACTGTGCTGAAGTTTCCCTTGAAAGGAAATTTTCTGCTGTCTATACATTGTCATTATCGAGTCCTTACACCTGCAGTTAACTTGATGCCTTTTACATTTACCGATTTACACCCTTCACCTTAGTTGTGTCGGCTTTTTTTCATGATTTCAACTATACAAGATTTTACCGAGAATGCATTTTTTCAATTGCAATTGCAAAGTTGTTGGTTTTATTTCCATTTGTTTAGCATTCGATTTAGCAATGAATAGATCTGAAGGAAGTAGAGTTTTCGATTACAACAACAGGTGCAGAGTCAAGTCAACAAATATTGATAGATGGTTAATGTCGAAATGGACATTTTAAAAACGGAAGTTTATTTTTGTATTATCCTTGTGCACAAACACTGACATTTGCACCGAATAATTTTTTTTAAGAATCTCATTTAAGAGCGAGAGATAAGTTTCTTATAAATTTGCATCCTGTTGTAGCTATCGACAAAAATAATGAAATTATATTTGATACCAAAGTGAAAGGCTAAAAATTTAAAAAAATTTATAAAAGATCGGAGATGAAGGGTATTGCAAGTACGTTCTTTAAGGTATCGAATAATGAAGAACAAACAAATTTTAAAAGGCACAGTTCAACAGATACCAGCAATATATTATTCTTGTCATTTTAATAAAAATTGCAATTGAGTTATACTTGATCAATCTTGCTTTTAGCCTGCGGAGGTTCCCTTGAAAATTAGCCTGCGTGCAGCCTCTATTGTTAGATGGAGGGGAGGAGGAAAGAGCGCAAATCTACTGGGGAGATTTCACTGATTTGCGCTGGGGAGATCCTCCTCCCCTCCGTCTTCCTCCGCATTAACAGTAGAGGCTGCACGCAGGCTATTCAAAATACGCTATGCCGAATGGCAACCCTCGTTGATTATAAAAAGTTAAATCAAATCAAAATCTTCAATAAAAAAATCTCCCTTTCCTTTTTTGTTTCTCGATCCTGTAACCACCATGTTTACTGAGCTCTGTGTCTTGAGCCAACAGAATGTAACACAAAGTAGATGCACTTGTAGGTAGAAAAAGTACGCCCCTGCAGGCTGCGAAATGGCACCTCAACTCTTTATGGGGACGCGTGCCCACTGTGCCCCTGTATACGACGGTTTCTATATCCATACCTGAATAGCTTATAAGTGTAAAACCTTTCTTAAATGACACTTTGCAGTATTTCTCACATGAAATGGTGATGATGTCATGGAAATTATTTACAAAATTTTTCAACTAGGACCAACCTAAAATGGCTCACCTGAAAAAAGTGATGTAATAGCTCTCCGTATGTAGAATGAGCAGTTGAAAAATGACAGAGAAACTTTCTAGAACTAGACTTGCTGTGACAGACTCATTGAAAATATGGTATTCTCTTCTGTATTACAGATCTTCCCACTTATCATCCCGTTTTTCCAGTAATCTCACGTGTACGTGTGGGCGTAGTTGTCCGTAATTCCCACGCTAACGAAAGTAACATTTGTTGAAGATTCATTAATATGTGACCTGACATTCAATCCCCTTCGTGTTTTCATGGTATGCCGTTCCTAAATTTAAAATTGAAGTCTTGAAAAATAAATATTTTTTTATTTATACTTGTCTAGAAAACTCAAGCCCCATTTTTGCAACCATTTGTTAATCCCATCTCTCAAATAATCCTGCCTCTTAAGTAATCCTGCCTCTCAAATTATCCTGCCTCTCAATTAATCCTGCCTCTCTAATGAATTAACCTCTCCAATTTTCCCACCTATCCGATAACCCCACCTTTCTAATAACCCCGTCAAAAATGGTTTAGTTATAAACCCGAAGTTAGAATAAAAATGAGACTATAGTACTCTTTCTTGGAGTACCTGAAAGGCTGTAGTAGATACTTACCAAGTAGGAAACCAGATGCACGTGTCGACAACCTTTTTACAGCAATTTTTTAACATTTTCATTCTTTCAAGTTGATCATGAAATACAATTAGAACATTTAGTTGGGTTCTCAATTATAGTTTTAAGGAAAATTGCGATGATGCAAAGAAAAAAATCGCTTCTAAATGTTTGCCTTCTTCAACCGAACTTTTGGTTCAAGATACTACGATGTTTCAACAAATGAAGTTCCACGGCAGCTTTTTTATAAATTTTACCATTTCCAATACATCCTCACATTTCACCATCCTCTAAAATTTTTTGTATGGGTACTGGCTATTTAAGAAATAATGAAAACAGGTGTTTCACGAGTGTTTTCTAAAGATTTTTAAGCCAATTATTTTACGTTAAATCCTCTTTTGAGGCCCTGCACTTTTAAACGCCGCTCTTTGGCTTGGTCAACGATCCTTTTCGTAGGTTGCTATGCCCGCCACTTTTAAACAGCTTTTAATGGCTAATGATTTCTTTTCGATGAAAATCTAAGCTCTAGGGCTGCTCACAATTTTAATTTAAGGTAAGTTCGACAACGTTGAGTAAAAGATTTTTATTACAAGAAGCTTGTGTATAACAAAATAGTAGGAGGGAGGCCAAAATTTAAGGAACTTTAGTACTTGGCTCCATAATAAGAAAGAAACTGTAAAAGTTCAATTCGCAAACAAGAGTCGATGATGAGTTCAAATAAGAAACGGCTCCGAGGACTATATAACTCTTAATGATACTGATAGTGTTAGGATAATTTTACTTAAGATAATTTTAACTAACTATTTTGCTTCTGTGAGCTTTTATTTTTCGTTGGAAAAGTTAGCACAATTTGGACTTTGATGTGCATCGATCCTTTTTGGTGTTGATCTGCGTTAATATTCTTCCAAAAATGTTCAACTTTAAAACAACAAGGCGCTTTTAGGTCCAAAAAATGAGAAATCAACTAAGAAGCTTTTAGTACTAAAGCCTGGTTCCCACTTGGTCGTTTGGGTCGTTTGGGTCGTTGGAAAATACCCAAACGACTGAAAAGACACAGTGGAAACGTACCTGCCAACGACCCAAAATACCCGACAGTTGTCGCAGAGATAGAAAAAATTCTATCTCCGCGACCCAAAATACCCACGCATGAATGATTTTTGCAAGTGGAAACCTACAAACGACTCAAACGACTCAAACGTACCACGCTTTAGTAACTTTTTCTTCAAGAATAGGAGATTTTCTTGTAACCGCGTGTTTGACTAGAACAAAAACAAGATAGCTGAATATTTCACAGAAAGCTTTATGGAAGAAGTTCAAAAATACGAGTGCCATTATAACAATTACTGGAAATAGTTTAAAATAAAATGCAAAAATATCAAATCATGGCAAGCTATTGCACTGAAATTTAGTGATCTAACATCGTCGTCTGTACAAAGTCACCAGAGGTAGAAATAGTTGACTTGGCAACATCAGTTGTTGTTTATCAAATGCTATCATCGTTCCTTCCACGCATGCCGCCAAAATTAAATGAGCGATGCATGGTGCAAGCAATGAACAGCATCAACAACAAACGACTCGAAAGACTCAAACGACCAAGTGGAAACCAATGTGTTCTTTGGGTCGTTCGTGTCTTTCAGGAACGACTCTGACGACTTAAACGACCCAAACGACCAAGTGGGAACCAGGCTAAAGAGGCCAAAGTTTAGATGCAAAATTTAGAAACTTTGAGTACTCAGTGCTGATTCAAGTTTCTTTATAAAACGGATAACTACTGCTACTATAAGGGACTTATCAAAGTCACGTCATGCCGTCCAAACTAGACAAATGTTAAACTGCCTCTAACCAAGAGGTTTTAATCATAAGCATGTGTATGCATGCATAGGTCTGAATGAGCCTTAAAAGTGCTACTCAATTTCACATGCAAGATTAAAGGAGGGGGGGGGGGATGAGCCCCTAATCTTACAACCACATGGTGCTCGAGGTTTGTCCAAAAACGTAAAGAAATTGATGGGTTTGGACCGATCCTTTATGGGATGGTAATTGGTAGGCAGATCCATTAGATTATAACGTCATTGATAGATGATTTGTCGCAATATGTATAAAACATCATTGTTATCCCCTTTTCCAAACGCCATTGGGCATTGCTGCCGGTGGGTTATTATTTTTTCCAGGACATGCATACGCCCCTTGTGGTAAAAAGAGAAACATGGAGTAACAGAAGTATACGTGGGGCGTGGGTGCAGCGGATGCCAAACGTTTAGAGCTTGGTATGGGTCTTGCCCGGATCTTCCTGCTCCATTGAGATAAAATTGCCCGGATGCTCCTGAAATTCGAAAAATTTTGTCTGACTGGGGGCCGCACCCACCCACCCCTCCCCTCCACCTCTTTTGTCTCTTACGTCTATGGCACGGGTGGAGGAAGATAAAGAAACCATTTGGTGACCGAGAGGGAACGATTTGAAAGATGTTATGTCACATTTTCTAAAATCTTAGAGGGGTAGTAATTTATTTTTCTAATGGGGGGGGGCAATGTCCACAAAAGCAAGCAAATTTGCCGACAAATGACATAATTTTACCGACAAAACCGAAAATTTAGCAAAACCTGGGGGAGCGGTTGCCCCCCCCTCAAACCCCCGCAATTTCCGCCACTGAGATGTGGGGTGCACCACAAGAAATAACATATTAGCTGAAAGTCTTGATAAAACTTATCATGAGAGGCAACCGGCCCTGTAAGTGTGAGGGTATCGCACGCCTGTTTTCCAAAAGTAAGAATCGCCTTTACCGTTTGTTGATTCTAGTATGTATTTCTAGTAACTCTATTTGTTAAGACTTTAATTGGACCCCCTACGGCAGAAAGAGAAATTTAGCAAAGGGCATTGGAGCGTGGTGAAAATTTTTTACTTGGTGGGAGTTGGCTCACAGAGTTTTTATTAGTTTTACGTTTGTTCTAAATGTTTGCAATCGTCTAGATCTGATTGAAGATTTTTGCCTTTTTGATTTTTTCAATATTTTACGGATTTAGCACCTTTGAGTTTCAAGGACTTAAGCGACCATACATCGAATCGGTTTCTGTTGTGAATATCCTTCTTTACAAAGTTTTCCTTCAAAATTAGTTTCGTAGCTTAATGAATTCACTTCGGATGACTTATTGACAAGTGTCGGAGGAAGTCAGCAAGAGAAAATGCTTCATTGCTTAGCAAATGCAAATAATGCTGGTGTCAGTCCAATTAAAACTTACTTTAATTTACTTTATCCATATTTTATTTCCAGTTTGACTCACTCTTATCACAAACATTTTATGCCGTTTTTCATTGACTAATCCTTGTTTGATAGAGGTTCTAAAAGCTTATCTCTTTGTAATTGATTTCTTATCGCATAATCAAATGGAGCTTTAGGCAATATCAACTTGTTGCACTTCTATTTGCTCTTCTCAGAACAGCTGCAATTCATCAAAGTCTTTTGCTGATCGACTCAAAAATGTGTTTTGAAACCATGGTTGCTCTTTTTATTATAAAGTGATTTTAAAATACACCTGTTCTGTCCCATTGATCTAAGCCACATATCACCGCCAGCCAGCAGTTTTTTCATATACGATAAAATCCAATTCGAAAACTAATCTCTCTAGTATTTTTTAAAAATGAATAACATCTAACTTAGTAGATATTTGCAATACGTACAAATCTTTTAGATCATTCATTGATTTGACAGTAAAAACTATTGTTATAGCAAATTTAATTTATGTTTTACCACGAGTTTGAAAGAACATAAGGCATTGTACAAGAAGTAAACTTCACCAAATTCATAACAACAATGTTTTTGTCAAAAGTGTTTTAAAATTGTCCCATAAACGCAATTTTGATGAGTAGGTTTGTCTATTGGAGAAACGTTTACGATAATATCCAAAATAGTTTAACATTTTCTCGTTACATGTTTTTGTAAAATTCATTTCATGTATTGATGTTATCGGTTGTAGGGTCTTCTATTATCCTTAGCCCTGCGTTCATCGATGGACGTAAGGAGTAGCAAAGATACCCAATGAAAAAGAATTCCCTGCAAAAGATTTTAGCCAAAGTTTTTTCATCCATGGTAATAAACTACAAATTTTGCTAAACCTTCTTAGAAGTTTTCAGTTTGAATATAGGCGCAGGAGACATAGGACTGTGCAATATAGAAATATGATTTACTGTTTTCTTACTGTAAGTTTGAACAGTATGGGAATTATACAGTGTGAGAAAAAATCAAATTTTTTGCTTCAGTAAAAGTTTGAGATTGGGTATCATTGTTTTTTGGTCTTAAACTTTAGCAATTTCGAGCCCCATTGTTTATGCAAACTTTTTTCTTATATGTAAAATGTTTGGTAATCACAAAACGCTACTAAATATTATTCTTAAACTCGTATCTTATAATATAATGTATTTTAATCAAATTATAAAATCTAGCAAAATCATCAATTATCAATTTATCATTTTATCAAATTATCAATTCTCGGATAATGAAAATAGAGCTTAGGACAAAATCAATTGTGTTCAGTCTTGTGTACACTTTGTAGAGCAATCGAATGATAGATTTAGTGAAAAGTTCTGGCTATTTTTCTAACCGCCGACGAGATTTGATTTATAAAACATTCTTTATTAATGTTCCAACTAACGACAGATCAATCAAAGTGTTCTTAGTCATAAAAAAGATTTCAGCAAACATAACTTGGTTTTTACTGAACAATTTTGGTTCATCGATGAAAAAGATCAAATTAAAAATAATTGTACAAAAATCAAACATAAAAATCAATCGATCCACCTTCGGCAATATCTCTATTAGGCTTAAAGGGAAGTCTGAAGAAATCGAGGGACAAATTATTCTAAGAAATTCTCGAACAATCCCCCACAATCCTTTTGTTTTAGAAAAAATATCGTGCGCTATTTGCAAGAGTGAATGGCCCTTTGAAAGAAATGCTGTCTGTTCTTTCAAGTTTGCTTGAAAACCTTTGACTTTAGAAGGCTGCTATTTTTTGTGACATTATGACATTATGAGGCCTGAGAATTACACTATACGAAACGTAAATTTGTTCCGAAATATCAGAAAGAGTTTCAGCTACATAATTTCTCAGTTTTAAGTTACATTTTGATACCTTGTTAAATTGAAAGCAAGATATTATAAAACCTCAGATTTTCACTATTTGATAAAAGTTTGAAAGTGCCAGGCAATGGAACTTTCTTTGTAGACTAGTCTAACTTAGCCTCATTGTTACTGCTCGTCATTACTAACAGAAATTTTTTCTATGGTGGTGGTTGATTTGAAAGGACATTCGAGACAGCAGAGTTTTCTTACCCACCCCACCCCTCTTTCTCTTGTCCTAATAGAACTCCAAAGTGATGAAGTCATGAAAATTTATTTTTTATTTACAATTTAAACCCTGAGGAGCATTATGGAATATCTATAGATATGCAAAATCGGTCGAGTTTGTTGCAAATTGACTGCGATATCGCCACATTAGCACAGGCACTTATTCCACCAATTCACTGTATTTTGTCTTGGTTCATTTCTTCATGAACCAGGCCAGAGTTACAGGAATCTTTTTAGCAAACTTGAAAAATTTCATTTAACTTAAATCTAACTGATTTTGCGTCATTGTATATTTTATACTGTTCCTCAAAAAAAGATCTTTATGACGTCACACTTAGGTACTCTTTCGTTTCTTTGTTATTCTAACAACCACAACAACACCAATATGTTCTGCTCCGCACATGACAACATGAATGAGGTGTTGGCACTGTTCGTGTGATCTAAATTGCAACAATTTCTTATTAATACCGGGTAAGCCATTTGTATACCTCATATAGTTTTTCTGATAAAGAGGTGATGAAAGCCCTTAAAACGTCCAAGTTCACTTTGGCGTGTTTTAGATTATTTGAAACTGATGGCTTAATTAGGCCCCTTTGGGTGCTTAAAATATGCCGGTAAATTTAGGTAGCACCCGGCCTTCATTTCGATTTCCTAATTGGTAAAATCCTTGACATATTGATGAAATGCAAAAATGTTTTAATAATTATTTAGTTTTGTTTTTTCTAAGTCAATCCTCTCCAAAACTAATTCACACTAATAGCAACTAGCTGATGGACTTTGTTCGCAGGCATGAACTGACTGCAGTAACACCACCGTATAAATGACAACAATATCGAGCCGACTCTAGTCCAGATGTACCACTCATAGACGTGGGAAGCATTTCGAAAGGGGGGACCCATATAGCGAATAAGGGATACTAAGGGGAGCAGCATAATAGGTAATTTACCTCTGTTTCCTAAAACTAAGAATGCATATACTATATCCCCTGTATCCCTGGGACTTTTTGGGGGTCACTTGGGTATGCAGAACAACTGAATTAAAATGAAATTTTGTCATGGATTACAGAATTCTGGCAATTTCTTGACAGAACCTCGGAATTCTCCACACTTGCCTGATGTGGATTTTCTCAAAATGATACACAGAATACAGAATTTTTTATGGACTTGCAGAATACATTATTTTTAATGGAGAAGTTTAATGGATTTGGGGACTTCTTCAACATTTGTCTTGTAAAAAAGAACCTGGTCAAATCTTGGTTGTTCTTTTTTGTATTTGTTTATACCTAGCATCTGAAGGTAGTTTTAGGAGACTGAGAAGCTTGTTCTTATTATGATAGTACCCAAATATTTAAAAAAGTTATGGCAGTAAGTAGGGCCTAGTTTAAGCCTAGTTACTTGAAACAACCCAAACAGTTAAAGCTAAGTTATTGTAGCCCTTATATTTTTCTCAGGAACTGTTTTTAAGCAATTTCAAAGGACCAGAGAGTATCAGGAGAAAATTATTTCAAAACATACTGTTAGCATGTAATACTGTTGGCTAGGAACATGAAAAAGGAACATTTTTGGTGCCTGTATCGTCTACTGGATCATTTTGATAAGAAAATGACCATGAAAAACAGTCAAGTAAGCCTTTTGCTTATCTGCAAAAGTTGATGAAGTTCTGATGATAATTGTCTTCTGTTTTTTGCCAAGTTTTTCATTTGCACCATGAAGATAAGTAGTTGCAACATCTTAAGGAGGCCTTTCATTCTGTATTTTGGCACAGTATTTAAAGCAGTAGCAATTTATCAGATCTACATGGATTACCACCTATCAAAAATTACTATTGGCCTCAAATTGGAAAATTGATATTACCGGATTATAACTAGCTGACTACTGGTAATATGGTACAGGTTTATGTCTGTATTAGTACAAAAAAGAAACATGATCTGCCTGAACTCAATGGAGCAAAAAACTTATCCCATTTTTGAAAATTGTTGATTGAGAAAAAAAAATGTCAATTGCTTTAAACAGCAATTGCTTGCTGTTCAAAAGGTACATTTGTTATCTTACAATTTGATTTTTCTTTCAGAATCAAAATAGGCATGATGTCACTGTTCCAGTCTTTCAAAAGATCACCTGTTGTTCATTTCTGGATGCTCATTGTGTTTCTCATATCTGGGCTTATCATCAACTGTGTGCAAATTATTATTCTGTTTATATGGCCTTTTAACAAGAGTTTATATAGAAGACTGGTATCAAAGATATCATATTTATACCTAGCAGGTATGTAATTGGTTATTTTAATTTTATTTTTTCTGTTTTAATGTAAAAATTCAAGATGAAGTCATCACAGTTCTAAAATGATCAAACATTTCCACATGTCAATACAAAAACAATTCCACATGTCAATAGTGGCAACTCACAACAAATCATTTTGTCAAGTTCTGATAAAGATGACAACTGATTTTGTTAAGTTCCGATAAAGATAAATTCACCCTTTAAAAAAAGCCTCAGTACTAGTTGCTGTGTCGTCTGTTGCATATAAACTTGGAAGGCACTGAAGATTACTGTCTACCAGTCTGTCATAAAGTACTTGGTGCTGTAACGGCAGAGCTGTACATTAGTCCAGAGGCTAGAGGGGGGCTATTGTCACTGGAGCAGAGCATTTACCACACCTTCTTTATCTCATGTAGCTTGTGGCATAGATTACACATTTAAATGTTGATCAAATGTTTGAGGGGGAGTTTCTGAGAAACAGGGGGTCAAGCCCCAAAAATTGGGGGGGGTCATTCCATGTCAGTTCACCAGATAAAAGTTGGAATTGACACCCACCATCTCAGATTTTCTTCATTTTCATTTTGCCAATAAATTTTTTCTTTCTTTACTGGAAAACAGCATAAAGCATTTGGAGACCTTTTAAGACTAGCAGATTCATTGAAAATACATTCTAGCCACATTTCCTTTGAAAAATGTTTAAAAAATGCGTTTTTTCATGTTTTCTTCTGACAAGATGAAATGTTAAAAGTTCATAGGCCCCCCTAAAAATAGGGACCAGTTTTATTATGACTGAATTCGCTGATATAGAGCTAATTATAAGTAATATTTTAAAATCACCACAAGCAATTAGTGCCTGACAGACTCCCAATTGTTGGGGTTTGACCCTCAGTTTCTCAGAAATGCTCCCTCAAACACTTGATTAACATTCAATTTGTAATCTAAGCCCAAAACTACATTAGAAAAAGTTGGTGTGGTAAATTCTATGGTCTGTTGACAATAGCCCCCCTCCAGCCTCTGGACTACATGCTTTAGGTGTAAATAACAGAAAAAATTTGAGTTGCTACTTAAGTTTCATGTTCAATGCAATCATCAGGCAACTGTGTACACTATAGACACATTTTTTTAAGACAAATGACAGATGTTTATATTGAATTTTTTCAAACTGGGAGTAAGCAAATTAATTTCTGAACTTAGAGCTGACTTTTGCTGGTGAATGGTGGGCAGATATTGACATTACATTTTATGGAAAAAAAGAGGATTATGAACAAATTGGAAATGAATCTGCCATGCTTATGCCAAATCATAGAAGTGATATTGATTGGTTGGTTGGTTACATAATTGCTGAAAGGAAAGGCATACTAGGGGTATGTAAATATTTTGCTTGTATGCAAACATTTAGCTTCCATTAATGTATTTGTGTTTGTCGTTGTTTTTTCTCAGGGCATTGCAGTTTAACTTTTTTCTACTGTCTGTAAACATCTCAGGCACTATAACTTCAACTTTCAGAAATATTTGTATGCTTTTGAATTTAATAGTTTTAGTTTGAAATATGGTGTGTTGTTAATTGAAAAGGCTTTAAGTTTAGTCTGGGTGTTTTATAGTTAACCATTTTAAGGAGGATTTGAGACTGGTCAAATGAAATTACCTCCAGCAGACTCAATATATCTATATATTTTTACCCAACATCTATTATTTGAAGTTACAGTCTGATCTTTATAAATCTATAAGCTCAAAGACTTCTTATTGTTTGGAAAAATGACAACTCTTGAAATATATATTCTGAAGCTAGTCAATGTTGAAGTCTGAAACTCTTGGCAGGGGGTGTCAGAGGTGGGAGTGGTAAACTGTTTGAAAAATTCACATTAGAAGCAATGCAGTGGATTTTTTATGAATTTATGTCACTTTATACTTTTATTTATAAAGACCCTTGGAGATTTTTATCATAGCCACTGTTTCATATTTGTTGACCTTTGTTTCTTGGGTGCCTGTCTAATCCTAATCCTTCTTAACAGACTGCAAAATGTTTTATGAAGAATGACTTGAAATACATTCCTACAATCGGATGGACATGGTGGTTTCTGGAATTTTCTTTTCTGAGGAGGAACTGGCAAAAGGATGAAAACACCATAAAAAACTCTCTTAAAGCTCTTAATGAGTATCCAATTCCATATCTGGTAAGTCCGCGTTCTATTGACACCATTTTAAAATTAGTTTTGCGAATGGAAGCATCTGAACCGACCCCTAGTATTTTTTGCAACTTAATGATGTTGTGTATAGCTGGGCTGTGTATAGCTGTGAAGGATAATGAGGGTGATTTTCATTAAAATTGGATAGAAGTATTGAATTGAAGATAATGGCAATGTCTTGCATTAAATTTTTATCTGGTAGAACAGATAAAGACTCAAGCTGGAAGAGACAAGATGAGGATATTTGATTCCAGGACATCATAATTTTCCATCTTAATTGCTATCTTTCTGCCCAAATTAGATATCAAATATGTATCTAAGCTGGGTGCATGTTGGCATTACGCACTTTTATTTAGCGTTTTGATGATAATTTTATAAAATTTATTGTTTCGTGCCTTTGTTGGGAAGTATTATTGTGATGTAATGATGGCAGAGTTGAGATGTAGTTCCGTTTGCAGAAATACTATTTTCTTATTTTAGATAGGAATTTTCGCAGAAGGCACTCGTATGACCCCAGCAAAACTAAAGGCAAGCCAAGAATTCGCGGTATCGAAGGGAATTCAACCTTTGAAGCACCACTTGCTGCCTAGGCCCAAAGGATTCGCATTCACTGTCCACGCATTAAAGAACTCAGGTATATATTTAAAGACTCTGTAAATTGCATCATAGTCGTTAGAAAGGAGGACTTTGTTTGTGTGAAATTTGCTGCTTTCCTAATGTTTTTCCGTATTTATACACAGTGTCGCATGAAGAGTACCTTAGTATCATATGTTTATGCCTCTCCTTGCTATTTCAAAACCTTTTTTATTAGGGCTTCGCTTCAAGGCCCCTGGCTCATCCTCCAATCTCAGCAACCTAAAGCAGAGAGTTGCAACTGTGCTGTTGAAAAAACCCAACACATCATCAAAATAACTTTTCATACGAAAGCAAACTTTGTCCCATGTTTATAAACCCTGAAATAACCTTTTCAGCTTCAGAAAACCTTATGTTAACGTTTTTTATTTTGTATTTTCTCACTTTGAATCTCCCTCAGTTCCAGCGATCTATGATATTGAAGTTGCATTTGCCAATCCTGAAAAGGCTAACTTAAAAACTCTGATAAATGGCGGAAAGATCAAGACTCATCTGTACTTAAGGTAACCAGTTCTGTTTTTCGTCCTTAAGTCGACAAAGAAATCTGTTTCTTTTTGCAAAAGTCAGTCAACATGACCAGACATCTTAATTTAAAAACATCAACAAATATTTTCAAACATTTGAAGATGTTCAAGAACAAGTGGTTGATCGGATATTTATCTCTTCACTGTCAATATGATCAATACAACGAGGCTTGAATATGTTTATATGATTGAATATGCAGCTAAATTCTGAAGATTTGTTTTTCGTTTGAACTTCAGCAGATTCAAACCTGTGTTTGATAGTGTTTGACAATGCTTGTATTATGTTTTATCGAATAGACTTGCCTTTCTTGTTAATAAGAATTTAACTTTTAGGAAAAATTTGTCAATATATTTCTGTAATTTTTCTAACTCCTGCTCAGGCGAATTGAAATGAAAGATGTTCCAACTGAATCGATAGAAGCAACATCTCAATGGTGCAAGGATCTGTACAAAGAAAAGGTGAGCAATCAATTTTATAACGGCAGAGTGTCTGTCAACCACAAATTGCTCATAGTATACCTTAAGCATTATTGATGTTCCTGGAAAACGTAAGAATCCAACAGAATCATTCTAACCTGCAACGTCATACAAAGTGTGAGAAGGAAGAACCGCAGGATAGGCTGTCCGCTGGATTCTGTGAATCTTGCAATGAGTATAATATAAATACGAGGATAAAATTCAGAAACAAAGAAAAACGGCGATGAGAATCCAATGTTGTGAGATAAATTTTTCCAAAATAAATTAAATTAAACGAATACTAATATTTCGCCTCGGTATACAGGGCTTCATCTGTCATGTCATACAAACCTGTGTTTTTCCAAAAAATCTTTGCATCCCACAAAGATATTTTTCTTCTTTCATGCTACAGTTTTATTAATTGGTACTGGATGTCTCTCTTAGTAAGCTGATATGGAAGGGTGTAAATAGAATATCAATTGACAAAATTTATTTTCAATGCTTCAATTATTCCTTTATTTTGAAAGCATTAATTCTTTCCTGAAATACAGCTAGATTGAAAGGAAGCAACATGAAAATTGTTCTAGTTATTTTTCGAACTTTATAGAAATCTGATTTCTGAATTGGTAAAAAGTAACTAATGGAGTCAGAGAAAGGGGTTTGAATTTGGGCCAAAAACAGATTTAAAATAATCTTATAGGATAGAAATTGCACTGCCTCAAAAATTAATTACAAAGCAATTATAGCTTTTGTACTCCTTGAAATTGTGAAGATTTTCCCAACGTTAGTTAGTTTTATTGTCACATAGTGTCACAAAGTATCGGATCCTAGTGAAAATATCAATATTATCAGTCAACATACCACGACGCCTTAGGCGGTCTTTTCATATTTTTCATATTTCATATCTCTTTGTCCATTCCAATCAATAACGCTGTTCATCTTGTAAAATCAAAGGCTTAAAGGCTCTTGCGCAACCGGCATGCTTAGCGGCAGTTGTCTTGTGAAAATGACTGTGTTTTGTATTTTCATGCAGTTCAATATTAGGCCAGTTCTTTGAACTTCAGTTGCAAAGCGTGCCGGTTGCGCAAAAGATTTTAACATTTTTTAGGTACTTTTGCAAACTGGTTTACCTGTTACTGCAGAGAAAACTGCTGTTAAGAAAAATAATCAAAATCTCATTGTAGGACGCAATTTTTGACGACTATACCAAGAATGGGGCATTTTCTGCTGACGTTGTCAATTTTCCCAAGCGTTATTCCAACCTGATTATTGTGCTGGCGTGGCAGATCTTTTTGTTCATCCCGATGATGTTTTTTGTCAAGTACATCATATCATCGTTTTCATATGCAATGTTCGGTGGAATTGCACTGTCTTTGTTGTTAGGTATGTCTCAGCTAGATTACCAACACAGTTTTATGCAGTATAAAATTTTGTGTATAGATAGCCAGAGAGTTTCATCTCGTTGTCCTCTGGTGTAAGTGAACAATCCTTATTAGTATTCGTATTTTTATTTGTATTTCCTACCTAGCATCCAAAGATTTTTGGATACTGAGAAGTTATGCTGATCGAGTATCGATGAGATTTCGAGTTCAACAAATCTTTCAAAAATACTGCCTCTGACTAATTATCCGTATAACGTATAACCATCACCGTAAAGATGAACAGTGAGAAGTTTGCTCCTGTTCTTAACACTATTGTATGTACAGTAATAATTGCAAGTCAACAGGCCTGAATTACAGACCGATGTTATCCTCTGTTCTCTCACTAAAGATACAGAACAACTGCCACTAGTTGTCACTTTATGTGTAGAATTATTTGGTACATAAACGTTTAAATTGTGCGGTATTTTACATCAAGCAAGCATTAACTTTTTCTCGTATTTTTACAGGGTTTATCGTTGTAAAGCTGTTGTTTTATTATGCTGACACAAAACGCAGCAGCTCGTTTGGCCTATCTGCTTCAAAAGGCAGACAGCAGAATATGAATAAGAAGCAAGAGGACTCGACTCAGTTGAATGAAGACAGCCAGGAGCAAAATGGAGTCAATGCCGAGCTTAAGAAAAATGAATGACACAGAATGTGAGCCACAGAATCTATTACATATGTTATAAATGAAGCCATACGAGCTATTAGATTCAATTTTTCATGGACTTTTGAAGCGTGTGTAAAGGAGCTGGTAAAACACTTCGATGGCACGTATGCTTTCCAATGTTGTTAATATATATTTGCGGTAAGATAGAGTAAAGATTGTACGTTACAGGCCTGGCATAAATCAAAATAGCGATTGAATTTAAGTAGATGCAGATTTGCGTGGTCTTTGATTTTCTCAATTTGAAGGCATCCAACTGAGCATGTGCTGCTGTGAATTATGACGTCATTTTATCAAGTTTCTTTATTATACTTTCGACTTGATTCTCAGAATTTAATTGTTGCTTGCGTTTTTTCAATCTTGTATTGGTTTTTATAATTTTTTGTATTTGCTAATTTCCAAACTTGTACGCAGTATGCTCCATTGGCGTACGTAGTATAATCTTTTCCGTCGGGCCTCAGGAACTTTCAGTTTTCCAACAGATATCATTTTAGCTGAACAAATGAGCAATTATTTTTTTATTGCTATCATATTTAGCATAAAGACTAGTTTCATCAACATTCTACATGCACTTAAACTGGGTTTCTATTCTCCATGCACATGGGTTTTGTCCCCCTGAAAATAAAATAATGTTTATTTTGAAATTTAGGTAGCGTGTTATTGTAACCAAAACCTATCTTGCTGCGGAATTTTGGGTAAAATGACCTCCTAGATTCTAGCATCTGCAAAGCGAGGCAGTAGCGAAACAGAGGTTAAGAGAGTATGGGAAAAGGATGTTGTCATATACCCAGACCTTCCAATTTAGATGTTGCACACAACGCCTTCTGTTCGCTGCCAACGGATACCCAGACATCCCAATTTAGATCTTTTTCACTACTTAGCCGAAGATTGCTACAAACTTGTAGACTGTTTATAAGAAATATGGTTTATATTTTTATCTATGCTTTTTTGGAATTCTTAAGCAAACTTAGAGATAGAAATTGTAAAAGTGGAAACATTTGATGATTTTCAAGATGAATCTGATTTTATCTGAATGGACATATAAATTGCGACTATTTTTTGTGGCATGAACTGACTTTATCTCTCTTATTATGAAATGTTTCTTTCTGAATGGAACGGAAAATATCAATATATCGATTTATCATTTTAAAAGTTTCCAATATTTCAAACTCACATCACTCAAATCTCTGCTTGGATTTCTAATTTTAAAAGGGAACTTTGAAATCTGAGTTGAAAAAAGGGCGTCGTGTTGCTTGACTGTGCATTAGCGTGTGGCTCCCCATTTGTATATATTGCAAAGATTCTCATAGCAAGATTTGAAACCAATAGCACCAGTAATTTTATATAAGGGCCTTGGAATTCGAAAAAGTTCGATATAGGAGATGTTTATAGGATGTGGCCTTGAAGCGAGATTAGTTGATCATTTATCAGGTGTTTTCGTTCATCATAGGTTTTGGAGAATGTGTAGAGCTGCCTAAGGAGGATCAGGAATGCATTCAACTTTTCATCACGCAAGAAAGAATATTTTAAATGCCCTTGTTTTAATTTTAATTAACAAGAATTTATTTTATCCAAAAGGATACATGCCAAAATTATTTTGGAGCACATTTTGCAAATGCAACATCCTGACATGTTTGTAATATTTATCTTATCTTAAAATGTTTGTATGCAGGTCTCTTGTCAAGGTTAGAAAGACACAAAAACAATAGTTAGTTTATTGAGTTTAATTGGGAAATGCTACTTATATACAGTTAAAATAATTGAATATTTAAAACACCGATAAAAATGATTTACATGCATTGTTTTCTGAATGAATACGATATAGCAATGGTACATCAACTGGTAAACAATAAATAAACGAAAGCCTTAAAACTGCAGACGAATAATACTGCTTCGTTTAGTTCAGCATGCAAGATTCATAAGTTGGAATCATATATTTGATATTAATAAAAGCATCTTCACCACCATGTTTTTCAAAGGCCTCAAGGGTCTCTTGAATAAGATCGCCTATATTTTCACGTCGCTGCTGGCTATAATCAATTCCGTCCCCGGAATTCAGATTCCTGTTCTTGAAAATATTAGGAACCGGAAGGATCTGCCTGTAGTACGGTACCAATGCCTCCCCGACCATTTCGCCTGATACAACAAGATGCTGCAATACCTTTAAAGTCGTGCAGACGACTTGTTGATCCCGTGTATCCAAAGCATCGCGTATAGGTAAGATTAACTGGGGTACAACGGGGAGTATCTTGCTGCCCCCATGTTCCAGCATATCATGCACACCTTGACGTGCGAAAAACTCGTATGGATGCTCGGTCTCTCTCAAGCCTTCAAAGAAGATAGGCAGATAATGATGGTAATCAAGTTTTTCAATCTCAACTTTCCAAGCAATTTTATTCCCCTTCGTGTCATGCTCAAGTGCGATGGGGAGATCCCCACGGTCGTAAAACTTCCGGAATTGTGTTGGTTTGGCCGGTCGCTTCTTGAATGCACCGGCTCCAGGTGGACCTAAGACCTGAAGTGGAAGAATTACAAGAAATCGTCAACTCAACTCGCCAAAGTAGATGCAAAGATAGCCACAGTAGCAGTGTACATGAAATATGTCAAAACTTGTGAAAATACTTAGAAGTCTAAGCACCGTTCAGTTGGCGTTGTATATTTGTATTTTTCATTTCTTTTCCTTAGTATGACGACCCCCACTTCCCCCCCCCCCGAAACAATGTTGCTAGTTTAGGCAAGTATCATACAAATTACCAGTGGCGTAGTGAGGGGGGACAAGTGGGGACAGTTGCCCCTGCCCCAATGGCATAAAATCTCTTTGAAAAAGGGCGTTTTCTGGTGTTCGAAAGGGCCTTTGCCCCCTATATTATCCCTGGTTCAACTCGCCTTTGCCCCCATATCTTACAACCCCTGGCTACACTACTGCAAGTTACACGAAACATCAAGAGAAGTGGCAGGATACAAGAGAAGTTGCACATGTATCCTTGGAAACTAGCCAAAGTAAGATTGACCGTCAGCTTAAAGGACATATAAATGACATATGGGCATATGAATATCAAATCTTTCAGGAGCCAAAATCTACTATTTTTACGCTGTAAAGTCTTCAAAGCTGAATAGGGCATTGTCGCTAGGCCCTTGATGTGGTGTCATCCATACGACAAGAGGATTGCGGCTGAACTTTACCCCCAATGCCTGAAAGCTTAAGACCAACATCGTAAGCAAGGTATAAGAAAATGATAGTTGGGACAAGCTAAGCCACATGGAATTTTCCATTTTATTCATTCTTCCCCACACACCCACAATATCACCAAGATAAATTAAAAAATTGATGAATAAAATAAAATAAAGTTCTTAATTTTCTCTTGTATTAAAACTTATGCCAACATTCTTAATATATGTCTCAAAACTGCTAGAACCTATGCCAACGTTGCTACAAAAAACTAAACAAAGGGCAAGTTAGCTGCTGATTAAGACAATCAATAATCTAGAACTTCCGCCTTTGCACAAATCAGATCTTTTTATAAGGCATTTTCAACGCAATTACTCAAACTGAAGAACTGAACATGACGCTGGTTTACAAATTTTAACCGAACCATATTCTCCAAATCTCAACAAAATTGTTCGATCATTTCCCATGGAGCTGGATAAACTAACAAAAAAACAAATCTATTAAATTTCATTTTAAATCAAGAATTATTCGTTCTTGGAATGGTAAATTAAAGACTCGTTTGCTAACAACGAGCCTTTGCGAGCATGACAAATTTTCCAGGCGACGATTAAAATAATGGCAGGCAACTTTTCCTGACTAACCAAAATTGATTTCAGACTGTCTAAAAATGCATTATGAGATACATGCGTATCGCAATGGCTCTTTGTTAGCAATGAGCCTTTAAGTTTGAACTGGAATTACCCAAGCAAATTTGATAATACACAAAACAGCTGATTGCATTATCAAAGTTAAATTGATAAAGTGAAGGAAATAAAAGCCGCGTGTCGATCTGGCAAGAATGAAATCAAAATTCAATATCTGCTGGAATCTTTTTACAGAGTTTGGTGCCGTTGACGTCACAAGGAAAGAGAAGTGCTTACAGAATAGTTTTGAGGTTTCAATCGAAATAAACCAGCCAAGTGATAGCTGGAAGATAAGGGCTCGTTTAGACGTTTATGGGCGTTTTTCTGAATTTATAATGTAGATTGAGATCCAATTGAAATGCGTGTTATTTCTATGCATAATCTGAGTCAGTCTGCAAGAAGCAGCTGTGGCTGTATAATTTCACGTGTTGATCTCAGTAAGGATTGTCTTTGTTCGTCTAGTAATATTTCTTTTAACCTAAAAACAGATTTTGAAATGATCTGTAAATTAAATCGCTTCGAAAAAGACATATATATTGCGATTAATCATGGAAGAAACGGGAAGTTTCCGAAAAGGGTTGACATAGGTAGCATATTATCGACGCCTAAACAGCTTTCTACCTGCTTAAAGTCTGTCTGAATCAATATTTTGTTTCTGTTGTAAATTCGTATGCATATGCTATACAATAAGAGCTAAGCGAATGTTTATTCAAGCCAACTTACTGAGCTGCAAAAAGAAATGTAGGAGACCGGGCAAAGGGCCTCCCATGTTTCAGAAACAGAGCTAAAGTGCTTATTTGCAACTGAGAGCGGTGCAACTTATTTTACAGCACAACCTCTCCTCCTCCTCTGCATTAAAAATGTTTTCTACCTCTATCATTTTTTTAAGATAACATGAAACATTTAATGTCGTTGCTATTAATTACAATCGAAGAATCCAATAATTCTGACGTACCGCTTGTATAGGTCATATGTAATAATAACAGCTAATTTCTTTATTTTAGGTTGGCTTCTCGTAGAGCTAATTAATTTGCTAAATTATGCCAACCAAAACTTAAATACAAGTTGATGTTAACTGAATTGCAAGTATAAATCTATCAACAAAGAGGATATAAATTTCTATCATAAAAACCCTAAATTTTCAATAAATCATTTGCAAAATCTCCAGTTGCGATCAAACTGATGGTTTTTAATGTCTATTTTGAAGCTATTCAAAGTCTGGGACTCTTTTAAGGATAATGGTATTGTATACCATATCTTTGCTCCAAGAAAACGTGTATTTTCAAGACCATACCCTGTCGTGTTTGGTTTTGGTGCAAAAATATCTATGCCACTACGAAGGGTGTATGGAGTATCTTTCTTCACAAAGATTTTATTCATGAGAGTTGGCTTGAGGTTCCTTTGAGTTTTAAAAATTTTAGTAGCAAGCAACTGCAAATTTTTGTGGTGGATTGACACTGTGCCTGCTTTCGTCAATAATTCTTCGAAATTTGAACAGCGCGATTCCTTGTATGCGATTCTTAAAGCTCTCTCGTGAATTTTGTCTATGTTCTTGTTAATTGACCTATCATGAAACATCATAGATGCACAGGCCCAGTGGCTTTTACCCAATTTAAAGCACCAAAACAAGAAAATATTTAAAATTTTGATACTTTGATCAATTTTTTTTGGAAAATTTATCACTAGCATCCCTAAAAAGTTAACTCCCATTATGCGTCATGCATAGTTGCATTTAAAAAATTCAATGTTCGCGATTTACTTCTTGACTAATTTTGTTTGGGAAGTTTTTAATTTCATATGAAAGAGAGCCAGATCCGTATGATCTATAACTTTGCTTCAATTTTTTGAAATATTGATTTTCTATGCTGGATAAAAATTTAGTCGGAGCAAGATGAAATAGATTTATATTGGTTGGAGAGCTCAATTCCTACAGGAAGGGTGGATTTGAAAACCACTTGATGTCTTCATTGAGATATTGCAGATTTGTATGACGAGAAGTAACTGTTTCGCTTTTTACCATTTTACGTTCAAATCTTGATGAACTAATCATTCAAAGCAGAAATGTGGTACGAGGAGAAATTCTTTTTCTTCTAATTTTCCATCTTGAGCTGGTCATCTTCTTACGTTGTTTTTATTTGTTTGGCAAATGGTGTATCGGTGTTTTTTATGAAATGAGTGTGTAGAAGCCTACTTGTTTAAAAGTTTAGCCTTTGAAGAGAGATATCGAAATAATGAGCTTTTGAACTACCGATTTCTGAAAAAGAAAACTTTAAAGAGGAAGTATGCTCCTTTCTTTTTTGGTTCCAGTTCGTGTGTAAACCAATTCCAGGTTTCCTTGCAAAACATGGTAAAACTAGCAGTTTGCCGCGATTCATTGATCTTTTTTTTCTTCAAACAAATAATCCTGAATATAGATGAAAAGCTTTCAATTTAAAGTTATACCCTTTGACATGGGCTCCGACAAATGTTGAAAAGTGGGGGGGGGGCAAAGGAACAATTTAACACCCATAACAAAAGATTTTGAAAAAAAACTCTATTGTTTTGCAAAAAGTGGGGGGGGGGGGGTTGCCAAGGCAAGAGCTGCTCAATCACGAAGGAGGGACATGATATCAATTAAAAATGGCCACTGACACCTTGGCAATGGCACACCAATATTCTTGGGAAATGATGGAAATTTTGTACAAAATTTTTTGATATAAGTTATTGGTGTCCCTGCGCCTCTCCAATTCCTCATAAACGTTGTTGGCTCTTACCGATGTTATAAAAATGCTCTGTACATTCGGCCAGGACATCAACTCTCGTTGAATTCCAGAAAAAGGCCCCGGGGGGAGGGGCACTTGGCACATGGTCAAGGCACGGGGGCGGTCTAAAACTTCATAGTTCCCGAAAGTATCAGCTCATTTTCACTAAGACCTAAAAGTATAAGCTCTAATAACTAATACAAAAAAAATTAATACTAGTTTCTTAAATTTATACCTGGAAATATCAGAATTGCATCTGTTATTTTCTCTGGACCCAAATCTACCATTTTGAAAAATTTTCCGGCCAAAACTGATAGTTTGGGAAATGATTGACTAACAGATATCGGACTGGCCTCCTGCATGTCTACGTACCCTGTGCCCCCTCCCCGCCATTGGAAAATGTACAGTTCACGATATTATTTGAGGGAGTCTCATGAAAATTTCGATGTAAGAAAGAAAACGATGTTGTAGCAGAACAAGCATTTTGGGTAATTGTTTTGTTACCAAGAGATAATTGAAAACACATTTTTAATGATTCTCGTTGACTTATGTTTAATACCGCAAGTTCATCAGCAGGTAACTTATAGTTTCTGCAATTTCAGTAAGTTTTTGAAACAATGAAGGTTTTAAGAAAGCAGTACCTTGGGACAGTCAGTCATTAATATTTGATAACATTATAGACTATCCGAACTCAAAAACACTTGCCACTCTGGTAAATTTTGGAAGAAAGCAACCTTTTCGAAACAAATAAACCGTCTAACATTTGAATGCTCTTTATTTTGCGATTCTTCTTATTAACTGGATACCATTGTCGACTGTAAGAGGATTCGTGAAACGCAAGTTCATGATATAAACACGATATGTATACCTTAGGATGTTGTAAACAGTGCCCGAATAGTTTATCTGTATAAATCAAATTAAAAATCTGTATTCTCTCTTGAGTCGCAAAACTATGCAATTAAGTCTTGTTCAATACCTGAACATTTTTCATTCGTGACTTGTTTGTGAAACCCTCTGCAAAAAGTGATCCTTTGCAAGTCAACATTGGCATGTGAGTTCTTGCCCCTTGGAATTCCTTCGTTGGCCTTATATCAGAAATTGTTGCCATGTTTGACTTATGTTTCTGTAGTGTATCCCTCATTTATTTTTCTTTGGTTTTCCTCTTGAGCTGGCACCTTCGATTCTGTAGTTCGGATGATTAGAAATCAACTGAGCTCTGGGAAGCTTGACTGTCATAGCAACCGACACGCTGTTCTTTTTGCTACATAGCAACCGCTGACCTCTAGAAAGCTCCTCCGTACCTCTAGAAAGCTCCTTCTGTGTGTCACATGTCACTATACTTTCTAATTACAAGCACTAGAGTCATAAAAACATTGTATTATGGACAAAGCTCCAACAACTTGAGCAACTCTGTTCCTTTGAAAAATCACTTTTCATGCACGCTTTTTATCTCTGGAGCTCCCCTCTTTGTATTTTAATTTTTTTTCTATGCTTAGTACAAAAGTATGGGGACACCTTCGAAATTTTGAAGGCATTTTATGCAATAAATTTTTGAAAGGGAGCTTGCTGATGCTAACGACAGATACTTCAAAAAGGTTTTAACAAGATATTACCGTAAAAGCTCTATTAAGCCAGAGAGGGGGCTTATTAGAGAGAGGGGGCTGGTTAGAGAGAGGGGGCTGATTAGAGAGAGGGGGCTGATTAGAGAGAGGAGGCTGATTAGAGAGAGGAAGCTTATTAAAGATTTGAAGCAAAAAAGGCTTTAGAAATGTCCTTGTCTACCTTTTTGTCCTTGTCTACCAAAGTCAGGGGACCCACTAAATGCGCATGTTTTCCTTGTTTGACAACTAAGGCTAAAGGGAGGTTAATAGAGAGTTGCGGCTTATTTAAAGTTTTTGCTTGATAAGGGGGGCCTAATAGAAAGGGGGGCTTAATAGAGAGAGAGAGAGATTAATAGAGCTTTGACTGTATTTTATTTTGAAGATTGTCAGAAACATTAATTCGAAAATATACATAGATACACTGTAAAAAGGTTGTAGGACTTAAAACACAAAACGAGAGTTTTAAAAATTGAAGATATAACTTATACAAGGAGTTGCTAAAGATTGTTTTTAGCAAGATTACAGGAAAAGTTGGCAAGAAATTATAGCAATGATCGGCTGCTTGAGGTGTGCAGCTATTGCTGTGTACAAAACTTTTGTCGGATGAAGATCTCTGAAAAATAAAGATCTGCTGATGTGTATCCAGTAAATTCGCAAGAGTCCTACTTTTATGGCTGAAATTAAAGAAATGAAAGGGTTTCACCAACTGTTTAGGAGTTTTCGAAGTTAGATACCTACATACTTTTATAGAAAGAATAGGCTATATATTTTTTTTAATTTTGATTTTGGTAATATTCAATAGATTCTGTCAAGCCCAAAATTTTTAAGAAATTCACTTTCTGAGCCTGAATACATTCTTATACTCTTAAAAACTGGATAATTCTGAGCCTGATAATTCTCACAAACAATTTTCTAATAAAAAAGAGAGAGTGTAATAATGGAGACTGCACGTATCTCCTGGACAACTTTCCTTTCCTTTAGTCAATCAGATGCAAAAACTTAATTTTTTATCAATGTGTCCTAATTTTAAGATTGTTTTAATTTGAGTGAGTACTTTTCGTTTCAATTAAATTTATCTGAAATCCCAGTCAGTCTATTTTTGAGTGATTTTGGATTTTGCCATAATCTTCAATGGGTGATTTTGGCGATTCTTTTATTACAGCCTCGGGATGGACTTGAGGTTTAACGGAGTTCCTGAGAAAGGTAAACTTCACTGATCTGGTCAAAATGGAGCTTCCACCTCTTCCTCCAGCGTTGAAAATAATATCTCCGTATATGAAACTTGCAAAGGAATATGACAAAAGAGAACCAGTTGTTGCATATTACTGTAAGTAACTTATTTATATTTAGTGACAGTGATTGCTAACATTATTAAGCACGGCTTGTGTTAGGAAAAGGTTGTTCCTTCCCTTTGACTATTTCAGTCAGTCACAAATATTTTACCGTGGTCTTTGCCAGATATACACTTTTCTATACCTAGCCCCTAAAAGTGCAACAGAGTATTTGAAAACACCAGAAAAAATTTAAGAGTTTATTAGAAGCTAATCTCTGCCAGAGTGCATTTCATGTCAACTGTACACTGAAGGTCCACTGGGGCATTTTTTTTAGGTAGGTCAAGAATATGAGCAGTTAGTAAAACAGTAAATATTGTATGGCAGACAAAGAAAACTGATTAATAGAATCAACTGTGGTATATTAGTCTTTGTTTCATTCTTTTTCATGTTAACTATGTACATGTCTTCACGTATAGCACACCAACTGACGAAAATTTCATGTACATCAAAAAAAATTTATTGGTTTGCACGCTGAATGTTGAAAAAAGCCTGATTATATTCCAAAGATTTTTGGGCCTAAGTACATGGAATGTACCCTTGAAGCTCTGTGGGAAAGAGAACACACTATTTTTGGCAATGAATACAATAATTTTTATGCCCATCATAATCAAAATCACTACACGTTTTTTAGTTTATAATAAACTTGGATTAGCACTAAGTACTAAAAGTTTCTCAATTTGGCATCTAAATTTTAGTGCTCTGTATGGAAAGTTTCTTAGTTTGTTTCTTATTTCTGGACCTATAATTGCCTTATTGTTTTGAAGGTGAGCATTTTTTTAAGAATATAAAGTTTGTGCAGAATACGCAGATCAAATTCAAAGTATGCTAATCTTTCCCAAAGATAATTCAACATAGAAATGGATATTTCACAGTTCTTTTATTTTTCTTGGGCCTAGCACTGAAGTTTCTTCAATTTTTGGGCATCCTAGTACTAGCTTCTTATAAATAAAACAATTATAGAGTTTAAAATTTGTTGCATATTGTTTTCTTTTCCATATTTTCCTCTGCCACAGGAAATTTGTTTATTGAAAATTTGTAATTTCTTAATGCTCGTGTTTAGGTAGACTGTATTGTATCCAAAAGGCAATTGCAACTGATAGCAAGAGCCCAGATTGCAAGAAGTTCTTGCTGACTCTCATGGATGCACTTGAAAAGGTAAAAGTTGCTGTGATTGTTGAAAACATGCTAACCTAAATATAAAATTTATATTCTATATTCATTAATTTATCTTATAGCTGTACCGCACATTTTGATGCTTATTTTTGAACTCATCACTTCGCAAACATTAGCTGAAAGTAATTTCCTTGTCAAGCATTTTATAAACATTTTAATCTGATAGAGTGTTTTTCTTAAAACTAGTATTAAAAGTAAGGTGTGTTCTTTTCTTCTACATCTATTTAAAGCTATATGAAAATCATTGATTTCATTTGATAATTTCTCCAACCATATTGATATTTATTTTTGAACAACATGTTATTATAGGTTATCTTTATCCTGTAGCCCCAGGTACAGCCCATCATCAGTGAACTTAAGACACCAGCTGTCAAAACCAATCTGTTTTTGCATTTTTGTAGCCTATGTAGGTACTCTATTTTGTGTGGAATTTATATTTTTGAGTACTGAAAATTGTTTTAACTTGCAATGAAGTCCCGATGGTGCTTTGCTCACACGACCGCATAAACTTTGTGTTACATACATGAGGTGTATATTTAAAATCCTCTTCATGTGAGAATTGTTGCTTTTTCTAAACTTCTATTCTGCCACACATTTCTTAACAGCTGGCCCATTTCTAACATACTCTGTGACTTTCAACAGGCAAAGAAAGATCTTGCTGGTCAAGGCATGGAAGCTGTTTCCAATGAACTAGTAGGCCAAGCTCACATGGAAGCCAATGCATTGAATTTGTTCACGTGGGCTGACCAAGAAGATAGAAATTCAAATTTCAACAAGTATGTCAGAAATATCTTATATGTTCAATTAAACTATTAGTAACTATGAATGAAATGCAAATTGCCAAAAGCTACATGTCTGTGAAAACTCATCAACAATTGATTTTATAATGGAATGATAATATTTTGCCAAAATTTGAAAGATATATGCTTCTTTGCTTGCAGCTTCAGATTATATGTGGTTGTGCTTTTTAGTCATTAAAGGTACTGAGGCATTATAAATGGAGGGGGTATACCCAAATACAGTCATGGTTTCTGCACTGCAATACTTTTTAGTGTACCTTTTTGGGATAATACATGGCGTCATATGTTTTGTTGCGACAGAAAAAAAGATGATGCCTCATACTGATTTAAAAACCATCAAGAATCAGTTTAAAACAAGGTCTTAAATGATCACATGTATCTATAGAGCAATCTTGCCATTAGTAGATGACCCTTTGCAAAACCTATAAAAAATTTCTAAATAGCTTTAAAAGTTTTGCCTGTACTACCATATTACATAGTATGATCTTACAACAACAAAGGAGGTTTGTCTTATTTTCCCCTCTAACAGAACCTGAAAGTAATCATTTTCTAGCTTTTTGGTGATCATCACTTGCAGATTTTCTCTATATTTTTGCTGTAATATGAGTTTAATTTTTTCAGAGGTTTGGTCAAAGCTTTCTACTCAGCCAATCTACTATTTGATGTGTTAAAGCAATTTGGTGAGCTGTCTGAGGAGGTAATGTTGTACATTTCAATAGTGGAAACCTATTGCTAATAGGTGCTTAGGTTCAGACATACCATGGCTAGATCGTAACTACCTACTATAGTGGAATCTTAATTTCATGAACCAGTAACATAAGGAACTTCCTACTTAAGGAATTAAACAGCTAGTTCTCTCCATTCTTTGTAATAAATTGATCTGATTTAGCAAACCACTAGTTTACCAAAATTCTGCTATAATTGGCTACTTCAATAGCTCTCTGATATTGCAGGCATAGTAATCCAAGGTGTGGTCACATCAATGGTACAAGGATTAGTTCACTGCTTCATAGCAGATAGTAACAAATGCAGAACAAAAACGTGTATCTTATAAATTATCTAATTGTCTGCATTGATTGCTAAAAGTGCATTTAGTTATTCTAAAAAAACAAGAGGACTTCAACAACCATATATTCCTGCTTTTGTCTGAGAAAAAGTAAGTTACTGGCTGTTGTCCCTCTTGCAAACTGGGACTGGTTGTAATGTCTGTGTTATCATGTTTTTATTTCAGGTTATATTGAAGCAGCGGTATGCCAAATGGAAAGCCACATATATTCATAAGTGTTTGCAAACAGGAGAGACGCCTGTTCCTGGACCACAAGGCTCAGAATTCGAAGGAGCTGAGTTTTCTAGTGAGTTTACGGAACAGACCACTGGATACCAACAACAGCAAAATATGCCTCATCCCATGGACTGGTCTCAGCCAAATGTGCCAAATCAAACGCCATACCCAGCTCCAAACACTAGCTACACTCATACGCCCCCAAAGGAGGAGCCAAAATCAAGCTATTCTTCACATGAGGTTAATATCTATATCATCAAATATGTCATGCATATATGATGCCTAATTATGGTTAATTGATATTGCTTAGAGAAAGTTTTGTAGTATCTTGAATAAGTATTTTCGTGGTTCATCAGAGGAGGAACACGTGATAGCAATGCCAGAGACCTAACTAGAGATGACAATATCATTCATATTTTAAGATGACGTTAAAGGAAACGTTATAATAAGATTATTTTTTCCATGTAAGAATGATGTTTATCAGATTTACCACGAATTACATTTTCCCCTGGAGCCACACACTGGTACCTTTATTTTGTACCAGGTATATATCGGATATCTAGCGTCAATCTCATAAGTAACCTGTGAATCGAGGTTTTCCGTTGTTTATTTCGGTATCTCCAATTTTTTCAAAAAATAGATACTTTTTTGTAAGTATTTCTTGTCTGGTAATAAGACACACTGAAGTGTATCCTGCCCTAATCTTTTTCCCTTCTGACAGTAAGCCGATGATCCACCTCACCTTTTAAATCGCGGATTATTACTTTGTTCTCATCTGCATAATAATGACTTATTTTGATATGTGTTAATTCAACTTTCTAAAGGGTCCCAAATCCCGAAGAACTAGGCGTGGTTTTTATCTGGGAGGAGCAAAGTTACTCGCATGCTGATGTTTCTTTTCGTCCCTTGAAGAGAATTCTCCATTATGCTGATCGCATATGGGACTCACTTTTACCATTATGTAGCAAAAGCATCGCCTTTATTGAACAGAATAACTAGAATCGGTTCTTTGAATGGCCAAAAGATGAGAGAGCACAACTACACTGTTAGCGGTTCTAGGTTGGAATCAAGGCTCGACTCATAAGTGAGATTCACCCCATTTATTCATCTTACATTGTTCTAGGACTGGCGTCTACGGTAACTTGCTAATAACAGTCATTTCCTCTAGGTAGGAGCCGTATACATAACCAACTCTTAACCTTTGTCAATTATATGCGGGAATTCAGTAGTATTCATGGGTAAAATCTTGGAATCGGAAAGGAAGACTTCCCTAACAAGTCCAGGGGTACGATTAAAATCGAATCTGTTCTGAGAAAATACACCGTTGCTTATCGATATCCAAAATCTTCCATTAAAAGGTAGACAGGAGGCAGACCTGCTTCTAGCGGAAGAGCTGCAAGTAATTGCTGTATTTGGGATGTGTCTTGTGCTGTTTGTCCTGGAAAACGAAGCATTAATGAGAGTATTTTAATTTCAGGACGAAAGTTCAGCAGCCATAGCAGCAAGTGGCTCGTCCAGTCATCTAGGACCACAAGAATACCAGCAAGCAACGAAATTCTGTAAATACGCAGTTAGTTCATTACAATATGAAGATGTATCAACGGCAATTGAAAATTTGACCAAGGCCTTGAACCTTCTCAAGGGTGGTAAATAAGGCTTTCTAGAGCCCCGTTCACACACATTCATTTTTTTTACTAAAATAGATACATGTTCACACGCATTGGACTTGTGTTCACACTGCTTCGCTGTGAAAAAATGTAAATTTATGAACGCACTTTAAGAAGAATCGGAATAAAAATGGAGGAAAACGGATGTTGAAAATAGTTTTAGAACGTAGGAGTTGTGTGTGATAGTGTGGACGTAGCCTAAATTGTATCTTTGTCAATGTATACGATATTTTCAATTGCATCTATATATTGTCAGTTCTGCAACTGTTTTTTCTTTATCAAAGTCAATCGAATGTTCCCATCTTACTATATCACTTATTGTTGAATGTATAACTGGAAGTTTCCTTGAAATTCTTATTCTCACCTAAAAAAATATTTTTTATCACATGTGTTCTGTTGATATTACGAAAACGCCAAAGGGATAAAACTTTAAATAACTTTTCCCGCTCCTGGAGAGTAACAATGGAAAGTTTCATGGGGGCGAGTTTGTGCGGTCACTTTTTTAGCTTTTGTTGACGGCAAGTGGACATGCAGCGGTGTAGGTGATAGGTTTCGTTGTATTTTCTATTTCATTGTATCTTAAAGGCAGTCTGTCCCCTATTCTGCTCAATTTTATTTTCACAGGAGTGAAATTCCCGCACCGTTGAGTTTGATCGATAATTATACGATTTAAACCAATCAAAGACAACTTTGATTCCAGAGCTTTTGAATCAAATGTCCCTTGTAGTGAAGCTGTGGCTAGAAAAATTTGGTTCCCTGTTTGGTTTGTGCGACAGACCGATTGTTCATATTAGCCAATCATTGAGGGGACAGACTGCCTCTAATTGCTAGAATAATTGACCTTCCTCGGACCAGGCCTATGGACATTTCTCTGAATTTCATTTTACCCCTAGACTTGCTCTAAGTATCCAATCTCAAGAAATCCCAAGATACCTTTGTTTTCTATGCGAAAGAATTGCAATATATTTATAGTATATCCTTCTTTATGGTTATTGAAATGAATAATATGAACTGTTTGGGTCAAGGACCTCTGCATTTTATTGTCTCCCTCCAATTTACTTAACGTTTAATAAAATTGATGCTTTTTTGCTAGTGGTAATATCTAGCGCTTTTTTGCAAACACCAAGGTTTTAATTGATTTTATTTGTATTTAATAAAAATCCAGTTACGATTGATTAGTTTGACTTTCAATTTGATGTTATATTAACTGAGGCTTTGTTATTTAGAAACTGTCCTTCCTGGTGTACTTTTCCTTTGTATTTTAATTCATTGCCCATGCTTGTTAAATTTTATCGCATACCTTTGTAATTTTACTTTATTAAACAAGAAAACTTTGCTTGTTGCACCAAAGGATATCTTCTGTTTGTTGATATATTTATGGACTCACTTTGTTTTTTGGGGGGGGGGGGGCAGGGGGTGATGACATCTTACGTCTGCTTTAAGATTCAAAAGCATTTCCAAGAAAGGTTTACATAAGTCTTCGTATCGTTTTTTCTTTAAAAAGGAATATATTTTTTCCTTCAGTGAATGTATATAAGTGCAAGGATTCTATGTAGACAACGGCTATTCCAACATTTGTTGAGTTACAGTTACGTTTTTGATACTCAGTTCTAAACCAAAATATCAACGCCACTTTATCGTTTTCATTTGTCGCCAGGGGCGGACACTTAGTCAAATATTGGGGGCAATCCCATTGTTTTAGAACAAAAGACCATTGTCGTCTAAAGTATTGGGGAGCCAGTCGCCCCCCCCCCACCCCCATGTATCGCATATTATTTTTACTTTTAAGGAGGAGTCTAAGTATTCTATTCATAACTAGATTTGATATAAATTAGTTGTTTAAATGTTTTCTATCGTAAACAGTGCATGCTAAATATGCAGTTTATATTACCAAATTCCGTGCTCTTTCAAATTTAATATCATTTTTATGTGCTATGTTTCAACATTCCCGTGCTATCTTCAAATTTTGCATCACAAAGGCTTGTTTAGTCATATCCAGTTTCTTGGTTTTAAAGCTAATTAAGTTTTTTTTGAAATTCATATTGAATTTCAATACTTGCCATTCATTCAAAGATCTGAGGTTTCCTAGGCAAAAGGCGATAGTAAATTTAGCATGCTGAACCAAGGAAGAAAACATGTTTGTTGGGTTTCTCACGGCTATCAGAACGAGATCTGCCCTTGGGCAAAAATAATTTTGCTACATTTTGAGGTTGCTACACGAGAATGTTTTATCAGGCTCTTCTGGGTTATGTGCATTTTTAGAACGGTCGTTGCTTGGGTTTCACAATGCTAAAGTCACCATAACAGAAATCTAGAACTCGTATTAAAATTCCCTCTCCTTGTAGATAGTTACATTAAGTGCAAAAATATTTGGTGTGATAAACTTTCGGACGGTGGTCCGTCTAAAAATTAATTTGTAAGAAATTTGGATTTGTCCAAATGTTTGTCACACCGAAAATATTTGCATAAACTGAGCATGCGCAATGTAAATTGACTGAGGCAACAGAAATCAAATGATCTATGAGGCTGTTTTCCCATAACAAAACAAAACCTAAGGAAAGGTTTTAATCTTTAAATAAAAGTAAATGTGCAAAGCATTTGAAGATAATTGTACTTTCAAACCAATAAAAACATCAGTCCAAGCAAATAACATCATTTTTTTCAACTGTCATTGAAAGTTCGGCACTAGAAACTTTGAAATTTTGAGTGCTCAGAACTTCTTACAAGTTTTTCAACGGTACAACACTTAAACCTTAAACCTTAAACCTTAAAAATATGTGTGAATCAATAACCTTTACTTTAAAATCGAAAAGACTGGTCAACATTTGGCCGAATAATTATTTGTCCGAAATGCCAACAAAATGTCCGGAAATGTTTTCGCCGAAGTTTATTCTTCAAAATATTATCCTCTAAATATTTTTGAAATTGAATATATTTCGATCCACAACTGGGTATATAAATTCTCCATCGTGTTCTCTCGGACCCTTGTTCTGACGTTTTATCTTCTGAGGAGTCTCAGACGAAAAAGCGTTCAGTAGTATGTCATGAAAAGTTTGCTTTTTTCAAAGCCATTTTCAAGTTCTGTACCGCCAAAAAATTGTTAATACATTCTGTTTCATGTACAAAGATAAAGTCGTTTACCAAGCCCTTTTTCAATTCTTTCTTGTCTTCACTTCATCAATATTTAAACTTATAATTACAAGTTTAAAGAACAACAGCAGTAGGATGATATTGATTATTAAAAATATACAGCCAAAATGTAGTGACAAAATTTATATTATTCAGTCGATGACGTATAAAAATAGCACTAGAAGATCTCTCCAGCCATTCTTTTTGCTTTTACTAAAACTTACAGGTAATACTAAATTTAAGAATAATAGTGATATTGCTTTTATTTACTTGTTAGCATGAAGATTACTGTTTAAGAATCCATAAAAAGAGTAAAAATCAAAAGATGTAATAAGAAAAGACAACAGCTATAGAAAAATAGAAGAAACGATAAAAAAAATCTGTTATTGTTCATATTCTTGTTCATTAATTATACATAGATTGTATTCTTATATATCTGTTTGTTTAGGGTAACGTTGGGTTTATTCAATTAGGGTAACGTTGTGGTTCGTCACTTCTACGAAAGTTATTCTCGTTTCTAAATCCATAACTTTGCTTGGATTACGCTACATGTTTCAGTGTCTGTGTCTGTTTTAAAGTTTCTTGTCGTAGGCTGGGAAAAAGTTTCTTGCAGTTGCTGATCTGGTATTGTTTCTAAATTGCAGTTTCAGTTTCAGTTTCATTCGATTACCAATCAACACTACATACAATTTACAAGGTTACAATGCAATAAATACAACTATTAAAAACATAGTATTCCCTTCCCTAGAGTCAATGGCTTGAAGAATGGCTGGGTAAGCCTTTTTTATTTTCCAGCCATCATTCACTGACAGAAACTATCTTTTGATCGTTAATATTTTTTTTCGCGGATCCAAGGTTGCTCCAGAATAGAGTTGTTCAGCTTTAATCTTTGATTCATTACCAAAGTAATCAGTGAATCTTGAAATCTCGTCTTGATTTCTCTCCATGATTAGCATCCGCCCTGATCTTAAGTTGTTAGTTGAATTTTTTCTACTATTGGCACGATGGGCTCTGTCTACCTTTGGAAGCCAAAGACCACTATTTTTCAGATGATTTTCCAGTGTCTGGAGGGGGGGGGGGGGGTGCAAGGCCAACGAAAGAAATCATCTGTTTCAACTGTAGGATCACTGTTTATGGATACATCAATTTTTGGGTCAGAATCCATTTGTTGCAAATTATCATACACACAGTTCGATTTATTAGTATCAAGTGTCTATTTACGAGCAATGAGCTAGTCCGTATTTTTTTCATTCATTATTTATAATAGCATACTTGTGTAGAAAATAAAAGTGACCAAAGCACTTCCTTGAGGACCAGACAGCTGTCCTTAAACATAAACACCATTCGCAGCCCAAATTGGCATTGTTCTTTCCACAAAATTGCCCTTTCGGGAAAAAATTTATCTCCGTTGTCTGTAACGCAGGGCCAATGTGCACAGTTTGTTCTAAACAATCCCCTATGCGCTTGTCTATGGGAAGTACGGTCCAATCACGTGACACTTGATTAGTCGTTTCGTCCTCAAGATGGCGGAAAATGTTAGTGGTGACACTCCTCTGGCGTGTGGCTTAATTCGTTGAAAAATAGCACGCCTTGTTTTAGACTGAAACGATATGCTGCTGTAAAGTGTCATCTCAAGGGTAATTCATAAGGTTAACGGTATGTGCTGACTTTCTTTTTGTGAAATGTGACTCAATATTTCTGTTGACTGGAACACGAAGTTTCAGTGAGACCTAGGCCAATGTTGCCCGTCACTAGCGTGTGGTTATGTTATGATATTTTTGTTGATGACCACAAGCTAATAATATAAGACAGCCACAATAGAGCCACCATTTAACACTTGTTATTCATTTTAATCCAACTGTTGTCAATTTGCATCGGGATTTTAATATAGATTTGCTTACGATTTTAAATCATTAGACCATTTCCAATGCAAAACAATTATTGTGATATAATTACACTGGAAACTGGCCACCAAGTTCTATCAAAACTTCACCGAAAACCATTGTCAAGGATCAATTATAATTTTGTAATAACTTGTCTTAGGAATAAGAACTGAGACGACGTGCTCAAGTTTTTTCTACTATGAGCGAAGTTCGGATGAAACGTGCTTTGAGATCGAAAGAGCACACCGTTTCGCATAAACAAAAACAGAAAACGCTCTTTCTTCGGTACGTCCACATTTCGGTATTGCCGATTCTCGTTAATTGATTTTTTATCATTGATGAATAATTTGTCAGAGTATTCTCTTTTTGTAAAAACCACATAATTTTTCTGATGCTCTTATTTTCTTGGATAATTTATGCCTCGGGTGTTCTTTCTTATTTCAACATTGATTTTTCTACATTTACACACTATAGATTGTTTCCAAGACCAATAAACAACAGATTTGTATTACATTTTCAGTGGCACTTTCGAATAGCTGGCAAAATCTGCTATGTCTTGTCAACATGTTTGAAAATTTCCAAAGAAATGATTTTGTTTTTCTTTTAAATTCTGCATTTGAGGCTAGGCATGCTCTTACCTTATTATTCTTTTTTGTCAAAGAGAATAGGCTGCTTTAGAATTTGGAAACTTAGCTACCCTATATCCTAGAGGAAAAACCAAACTGGCTCTAGAAAGTTTAATTATTGGAGCATATATCTAAACCATATGGCGTCTGTCTGCCTATTTTTAATAAAGGGTGAATCTGACAGTGAATTGTGCAGAAGAATTTTTGTCCTATGATAATTTTTGCACCACAGCCTATTTATTTGATGCCAAATTGTATATACTGTAAAATGTGCTTTAATTCTGTCTTTCTCATTGAATAATATCAAGAATGGCAATGTGATAATTACAAGTTGTTGTCTGATTAAATTAATCAGTCTTTCTCATTGTCAAAATTATGTTCCTGACGGTCTGTGCTCAAGATCTTCCAAAAATAGGCACTCAGATTTACCATGTCTTACAATGGTGTTTATTATTCAAAAAGATAGCAAAAAAATTGCAAAATTAAGAGGAAAAGAAACAACATATGGTTGGACAATATTAAAAAATATGAAATTGAAAAAAGTTAGCAGAAATTTCATTATAATGCAAAAAAGAAAATCTAAATCTATTGACAATCCGCCAATAGAAAATTCAAATCTGTTTTCATTTCTTAAAAAACTTCCACCAATGTTTCTACTTCCTTCTTCAAAAGTTTCCACCAAAGTTTTTACTTCCTACTTCAAAGCAATGAAAGATATACCCCTGCCCTTGAAGAACTTTTTTGCCAGTTTCTTATGCTAAAATATCCATGTTATATTAAAGGGAATCAGGCTTGACACAGTGGGTGTCTGAATAATCTAAGCCTTTAGCACTTTCATAATTTTGGTAGTAATAATATGTAGAAACGTTCTACATTCTGAAAAATCAGTTACACATGATTGTACTCAGTAGTGACACACATCTTAGGATGTTGACAAAGCTATTGACATTGTCCTTACTAGTTTTTTTGATGAATTGCTTGCATGTTTTACTCTGAACCCTAAATGGTATCAAAACAGTCATTAGTGCATTCAATTTTAATGCAAAATATTATGTTTTTCAAATTTGAAAAGTCAATTTGAGAAGTAGTATCATAGCTTTGAGATTTCTTTGAGAAATAGTATTGAAGCTTTGAGTAGTATCAGAAATGTTTTCCAACTACAGCTAGAAATGATATTAAACAGATTAATGGTAGCCATCACATTTTATGATTCAGTAAACTAGGCCAAAGATAACATATATATAAAGTTTCTTTGTAATAATGCTGATGACGAAATTTAGGTTTTGGTTGCATTCCAAATTCTCATTTGTAAACAAAATATTGGAATACAATAGGGCTTTATCTTCTGTGTTAAAAGGAGCAAAGAGCATTTCATAACGGTTATTGCCGAGCTATTATCTGCTTTGTTTATATTCAGACTTTAAAAGCTACTGAACTAAGTTTTTCAGCCTTTATATCAACAAACATGTTCTGGTTTATAGGTATGGCAGATGTGGAATTTGAACCATTACATGGAGAAAATGAAGAAGAAGAAGCTGAATTTATTTTAGGAGGGAAGAAAAAGGATGCATCAGGTATTGCTAAGTAACAAAAGTTCTTTTTATGTCTATACAAGCTTAAAGAGAGATGTTGAAATTTGAATAGTAGACATGTTGGTGTGATGTTTTTCTTTAGAATTTCAATTGTTTACCTTTTATATTGGTTTCAGTTTCTTTTATTTTTTCTGTTCATTTGCAACTACAGCTAAGTCATAGAGCAAAATTGAGAATTTCCACTTTGAAAGTTATCAATCAAAAGTTTTATTGTTTCCCTCTATGCGTTGAGAATCCACAGTTTTATTCAAAAATTTGAAAAAATATGAAAGCCTTTCCATTGTGGAAATTTCCATTGGTCTCTTAAACTAACGTTTTCATTTTAGATCTAGGGAGGAACCTTTGTGAATAACCTCAATCGATGTTTGTATTTATAAAGTATCTTGGCAGTCTCTTATTCTTGTTAAGGTTTTGGTTCTTTTAATATCGTGTAGAATTATTTGCAGTTCCTATTTTGGTGATAAATTGAAAAGCAATTTTGTGGTAAAAGTCTGCTTTCTTCTAGGTCCTAAATTTTGCAAAACAAAATTTTCCTGTCTTAAACTGTCAATTTTGGTGCAGCTACCAAATCCTTATGCTTTTAAGTTTGGATTTAAAAAAATAGACTGTAAAAGTATCAATTGATGTCATTTGATGTGCTTATCCTACCTATTTTAGGTTTTAGACCCAATACTTGATCTTTAATGAAAGTAAATTTTTGTAAATTCAATTGCCATTTTTGAATTGTTTTTTAATAACCACACATATCAAAGAGTGCAACATTTGTTATGAGGACAGATTTAAACAATCTGCTCCTTTCAAAGGTTGTCTTTCCATATAAATTTGTGCGAGTTAAAGTCTATAAATACCTGTGAGTAGGGTATCCATAAACATTGACTCAAACACAGTTTTGAAGCGTAGGGGCAAGGGGAAATTTAACAGTCATAAAAGATGTTGAACAAAGCTCTAATGTTTTGCAAAATCCTCCCCGGCCCCCTTCGTTGGAGGCCCTGATATATTGCTGTTTTAAACAATTTTGAAATAATAATAAATTTAGTCAAATTCTTTATACAATTTTTTCATTATCATTTTATTGCTGTTTGCATGAAATGTAATATGATTTATCAAATGATGGAGACATTTTCACCACAATATTCTCATAGGTTCAACAAAATACTTGAAAGGATACTTTTTTGCTAACAACTAAAGAGCTAGTGCTCTTTAAAAACAACTTTGACAGGGAGCATCTTTACAATGGGAGGGTTATGTTTTTCTTGTGCTCTATTTTCCGGTTTTTCATTGGCTTTGTAGTGTTGAAATAACTATTTAACTTGAAGATGCTAAAGTGCAAACTCCGGAAGTCGTTTTTTACTTATACTCTGATTATGATTGTGATAGAGACGGGGATAATGAATTTATATTTTTAGCTTTGATACGCAGTTTGATAATAGAAAAAAATCATTCTGCGTGCTTTTTTCATCAATTTTTTTGGAGAATTGGCTCGTGTTTTTTGAGAATTGGAGAATTGTTCAGATGTTATAAGTATTAGATAATGCTGATCATATGAAGTATTCAGTCACTCTTCAGTTGTACGATTATTTATATCTGTCATTGACCTCAAAATTTTTTTTTCGTATCCGACTTACAGCAAAGAAACACAAGCAGAAGAGGGGGGAATTGTTCCCTAGAAAGAGTGTAGAGAAGAAGGACAGAACAGTTGTAATTGATAACACAAAAGCATTCGGCACAACCCCTAGTTCGGCTAAGTCGAGCCATTTTCCACATCATCATTCAAGAACAGTGGAAGGACTTGTTGGACCTGGTGATATTCAATATGGCTCAAGCCCGCCAAACTATGACGAGGAAGGAGTGATACAGAACGCTTTGTTCCAGAGCAGTGGCAGTAGCAGCAGCAACAGCAGCAATATCCCTGTAAGTGTTAGCCAAAATCAGCCATCGCGTCCGTTGCAGTTGTCAGTTAGGCCGGTGCAGCCACCAGCTTGGGCCCAAGTGAGCCACGCGACCCCAAATCAACTACAGCAAAAGACGCTTTCTCAAGAGAAATTGACTTTGTTAGAGCAGGCTAACATCGTTGTGAATGCTACAAAGAGCCACCAGGATGGCACAAAAACACCAGATAGGGCCGATGAACGAAGAAATTTCCCAGTTCAGTCGTACCCAACCCCAGTTGGATTAAAGACGCCCCCACGTGTTGCTTCTCCGACGGATAACAATAGCTTTTCGCCGCCTTCTCATATTTCTTCTAGCACAGCTGTTGGGAGAAGATTCGAAAGATCAGGTAACATAATGCTAATGTTTCAAATTTCTTTTTTAATCAGTTCGAATGAAAGGAGCCTGTTACAAAACAGTTGTAGATTTCCTTTTTAGAAACATGTGGCTTAGTGACATAATCCCCCGCAAACCTCCAGGGGCTGCGAGGATTCCCTTTAATACCCCTGAGGCTAAATTTGTTTCCATAAAAAGTTTTCATTAAAGGTAAACGACAGATATAGAAGTGGCTTAGGCCATCTGGCAATCAATATTAGCCAATCAATGAGCGTGTGAGTTGAATCACACTCACTGATTGGTCAAATCTTGATTGAAAGATGACTTAAGCCCATTTAGTATCTGTCGATTGCCTTTGAAAGCTCTTGCGCGACCAGCATGCTTGTGTTTTGCGCAACCGACATATTTGAGAAATTGACTGTATTTTTTGTAATTTCATGTCGGTTTTGAAAATAAAGTCGCAAAGCATGCCTGTTGCGCAAGAGCCTTTAACAATAACGCTTAACGAATTGTCAATAGTAGACTATCCTTTAAAGCAGCCATTCTTAAACTCCGGCCCGCAGGAAAATTTCATCCGGCCCGCCGAATGCTTTTCACCTCGAAAATATTCCTTTAAAGGAATCTAATCAAGTATCAAACTTTCGAACTTAGCAACCAAGCATTGTCGGTCTGCTTCAGGGTATTCCGAAAAAGCAAAATTACAGTGTTTATGATGAAACGCGCTTTAGGGGGTTGGCAATGAGAATTGGCTTATTTTTCTTGATTTATCATGTGTGAGTTATCTCACAAATTCTTTAGGAGCGTCGCCATAGAGAACTTATCTCTACTATAAGAGGGCCCATTATGAGGAGGGGGGTCGAAACTGCAAAAGGTGCAATATTACAGAAAATAGTAACGAATAACAGTCAAAGGAATCTTGTAATGTGGTTAATTCTTTTTTGGGAAAGTATATACCCACCGATTTCTATTTAACTTTAATCTAAAAGTCTCCCCCCTAAGTCTTTGCATCCGTAACTGCACAGTCGAAACCACAAATCACTTGAAACTTCTATTAAAATACGCAAGCCTCGAAAATCATATGAGCAACCTGCTGATGATTGAGGCCGCGGACCAATAAGAGATCCCACTCTTTAACAAACTCGGCTAGAAGGATTTTTTCAAAGTTATTTGAATGCATCACATTAACTGTAAGTTATTGTGCAGTGGATATTGTGGTAACGAGATTCGGGTGTTTATGCCGTAACTGATCACTTGACATTTGTTCGCTAAACGCTTTAAAATTGCAAACGTTTGTATCCAATTTAAGAATAACAGCTGGCGATGCAATGCATAAGTCTCACCGGGGGCTTAAGTCTCGCATTTTAATGTGAGAGCTCACCTGAGGTGGGAGGGGAGGGGGGGGCTTATTTAGCAGCAGCCAGGATTATTTTCAATTTGAAACTTATGTTGCTACAGGCTCTTCATCGACCTTTCCGATGACGATCAGCCTAGTGACCACAGTCATTCCAGATTTTGCTCGACGGGGTCATTACTCTATGAAAACTCGTACAGTATCTGTGGGAATTCTATTGTTTGGGTAGAAATCTCATTTGTTAGAAAGTGAAATTCGCCTCGGCTTGCTTATGATAACCCATATGTCAGAAGTATATACTATTAGCTCCGAAGGACTTTCCCTCAGGCAAGAATCTGTGTTTTTCTTGGTTTTCTTAATTTTGTCAACTTTCGTTTATTCTAGAGTCGTGGGGGCCAAGCACACATACCGAATCAGCCACCAAAGAAGAGAATTGGGCTGATTTCTCCAAAAGCTTCGATGGATCATTGTCGGCGGATGAGGGGGAATTTGAATCGAATCGGTAGGAACCGGATAACTTCGTTTAGATTGTATTCAAAACTTGCATAATCAGTAGATTATGCAACTGCAAACCGCTCTCTGATACTCCAATACAGGGCCTCAATTTGGAAATTAGACGTTGATTTTATTATGATTCGAGGTTTTGAAATCCTGAGCTAGCCACCTTGTAGCTTACAAAAATTATCCTTCTGGCTTGATACATACGCACAGAAGATTACACAATTACAAAAGATTCAGATCGGCGAAGCCTTTTTAAGAAAGTAGCCAGTTTTCTGTCAAAGTGATGATTTATTTTTATCCACTGTTGCTTCAAATATTGTCTTTACCCTCCTTCTTTTATCCTCTCAGGTTGGACTCCATTACACTGATTTGATCTTGATTTCTACAGTTCACCAATGATTGTCCTTGGATAGGTTGGTCACTGCTGCCATTCCATGTTTTTCATGCCCCAGTCACTTGTAACCAAGAAGTTCTTGGTCTTCTTCCCTTATGCTCTCTATTTCCAATTTGCGCTCTATACCAAATAATAAATTAGCAATTTTCTTGTAGAAGGCGGCAGTCCCAAGTCTCCACAATATCTGAGGGGTCAGAGGGCTCTTACGTCAGCGAAATCGATGACAGTGTATGGCGGATTACGGAGGAGCAGCGCAGCTATTACGTCACTCAGTTCAAAAAGCTTCAACCCAATGAGAAAGGACTCATTAAAGGTAATCGCTGAATCTTTCCTGCTTTCCAAATAATCTTTCCTGTTTAGCCGAAGCCCAAAGATTTGCTTGCTTTTGGCGTTCTGATAAAAAAGTTGACTTCCTAATAGAAAGCCTTATTAATTCGTTGTTACATTTTCATTAAAAGTTGTTCTATATAGATGGAATTTTTGCCAAAATATTTATGAGGAGGACATAATATGCATTTTTTGTTCATTTTGATCCAAGTTACAGTTCTTTCAAGGTTATCCATATCTCCATTGAGTATCCGGTGCTAAGCTGCTCGGGAGAATTTGTATAGTTAGAGAAGTTACATGTCATGAAGGAGACATACGAACTTGCTGCAATGCTTCTTTCGTAAAATTAACCCATAAGTAGCTCGAACAGCATGTTATTCCAATACAGTTTGTTAGTTGCGTAATGCGCAATCATGCAGATAAAATAGATCCAGTGATCTAACTGGAAATGAATGCAAATATGATATCAATGGTAATAATAAAAATGATTAACTTCATAACGAATGGCGTTGTATATAGCATGAGATTAATTATTGCGAATCACGATTAATACTTACAATGTATAAAACTAAATGTAAACTGAATTTGTAATAAAATCCTTACTTGATCTACAGTTGCTTGATAAACTTCCAAAACTTAATTTACCTTTAAAAAACTCTACGGATCGGTACTCTTTTATATGCAGTGATAATACTCAATTATTCAGTTTTTTGGATCATCCGTCCCTGACTGGATACTGTATCAGCTTTTGCATCCTGTCTCGCAAAATGTGGAAACAGGTTTAATGTCTCATCATTCCCCTGATATTCTTCTTTCCTTAATTTGTTAAACTGTTTTGTTATCTAGTGCTTTAAGCCAATTTTAATGCCATTCACAATTTAAAAGACATTATAATATCATGAAATCCTTATAGCCTGATTTTCAAAACTTCAAAGACAAAACAACTTGTTCTAGAAAGTTTTGGCGGAACTTTGATATATGTGTGAATTTTTTGCATGTCTCTGAAAGCTAGTCTGCCACTCCGTCCTGATTCCTTTTCTTTTGTAAGTTATGAGCCTGTGATCCAGTCTTCCCTAATTTAGAATCTTTACGTCGGGAAATCTTACAGTGTTGCTAGAATTGCCTTGAGTTATCTTGAAAATCCCTTTGAAATGTCGCACCAACATGGTGTATTGGAAATAAATAGATCCCAGTTTCAAATAAAACCAACGTTTGTTGTACTTAGTTTTATATCAAATACAACCTTGAACAGATAATGATGTGATATTTCATTACCTTTGCTTATAGTAGCCAGAAGGGGCCTCGCATCTAGGTAAAAAAAAATTGTATGGAATAAAAGCCCCGCAGATATTTTCGGCCCCAGGCTCGCATTCCCGGAAACCGCCACTGCCTGCATAGATATTTCATTATCTTTGCGCTCCCCAGACCGATGTTTGATGTCATTGCAGTTAAATAGTATGCTTTCCAATGGTTGAAAGCTTGTTTTTTGTGTACATACTACCAGTGTTAAGGGCTCTGTATCCAAAACTGTGGTCAGGACTGCAGAACCAATTTTAAGTATTCAATATGTATCAGTGTATCAGTGACTTATCGATGTTTTTAGGGCTTTATATCGTAATTTCCAAGGGTTTTATTTCAAGGTATAATACAGCTTGCAGTGTAAGATTCCTGTTTTTTTAGTCTCTGTTGTATAAAACTCCTGACTGTAACTGCAAATTTATTGCAGGCCCACAAGCAAGAGACTTTTTTATGAAATCGAATCTTCCAGTGGAAGTTTTATCGAAAATATGGTACGTAAATGGATTGCTATATGGCCAATGGCTACAGTATTTTAATTTTTGTATCAAAGGAATTTAGCCTAATTCTTTATATTCGATAAATGCCGGGGGCTGTGCTGTAACTTCGATTGAATAGTGCTTAGACTGTCTGAGTGGTTAGTAGTCTCTAGTTTGTCAATAACAAGAAACGAATCAAGCACGCCATTATGCCTCTTGCGTTAATTCTGATCAGCATCTAGAAAAACATTTTTTACTTACCTTACGTCATTACCCGACGTAAGGACCCAATCTTCATTGAAAATAATTTTCTTTCAAGGATAGGATCTGCGACGCCGGCTAGTCTAAATTGAGAATTCCTTATAGTGTCTTTTTTGTCGCAATCGCTACTGTTCTTCTCAAAACTATTAAAATGGAAACCAAATGGAGCAATATAATAAATACTTAATGAGGTGTCTTAAATATATGTAGATGCCTTTATAATTCAGCGGTAAAAGTTAGAAAGCTTACTAAAAATCTGACTAAACTGTGACTTCTTTTCCTCATTTTTTGACTTTTTTTACCCTCTCCCAACCAGGCATTTATCTGACATAAACAAAGACAATGCATTGGATTTGGAAGAATTTTGCATTGCGATGCATTTGGTAGTTGCTGTCAAACACGAAGTTGACTTACCGAGCACTTTGCCAGCATTGCTGCAACCGAAACAGGAGGGTATGTGTCATGATTGCGTGAGAAGAAAAACTTCAATCTTGTTAAAGACTCATTGCTAACAATGAGCCATTACGCAAGCATCCCATAATGCATTTTTAGACAGTCTGAAATCAATTTTGGTTAATCCGTAGAAATTTACTGCCATTGTTTGGATCGTTGCCACGCTCGCAAAGGCCCATTGTTAGCAATGAGTCTTAACAACATGTGACAGTTACATTCGGACCTTCTATGTATGGACCATTTAGGATAAAAAGAAAAGTGGTGCCCTATTTATTTGCAATTTTGTCTCACAGTAGAGTGATTTATTCCTGTCGGTTTGTTTGAACCAAATAATGGTTTTTTAAAGAAGCCTTTGGGTGTTTTATATAGGTGCTGGTAAATCCAAAATATTCGTCCTTTCAGGGAGGATTAAAATGGTATTCTATGGTTGGTTTAACTGTAGGATGGTCATTCTGGGACAGCAGTTGTTTTGCTCCATTGGAGGAAATATGATAGATTAAATGCTTCTACTATTTGTGCATTCAGTAATAAAAGGTGCAAGTTCATACACAATGATGAAAGCCTCAAGAAGTTTAAGAGAAACACATATGCGAAGGAGAAAGGCAGAGGGCATTATTATTCAATACTGTTTTCGATAATATTTTAGGAACGAAAAGATTCTTTTTCCGTGTCATAGAGTTTGATGGCGAAAAATTTTTGTGATCACATTACCAGAGTTAGCAGTTTAAATTTCAGTTCCTTCAGACTTGCTTACTGTTACTTGTATATTGTCCTATTGCTCAGTGCTTAACTGTTTCTTTGCAGATGTGCCACAATTCGAGGCTTCGTTTCCATCGGCATCTAACGATGCTACGCACAAATCGAGCAACCAGAATGGATATACGGAGGAGGAAAGACCACAATCACCGCAACAACAACCGCAGGATGATCAGGTTTGATATGATGCTTTGTGATCTCTGTTAAATAGATGCAATTTGACAAAAAGAAAATAAATGATCTTAACCCATATGCAGAGCTTGTCTCCCTTGAAATTGAATAGAAATTAGATGAAAGTGGATTGAACAAGTTTAATTTGAGTTCGAATAAATGGAATATGGTTTTGTAAAGCAATTAGTGTTTTTAAGACTGAATTATCTTCCGAAAGGACTGATTCAATTCTGAAGAATATGTCTACTGGCAATGACTGATGCTAGACTGCAAATTAACAATTGCCTTTGCTGTCAATGAAATGTATAACCTTGACTGTAATATCAAGATCCTCTAAGCAATGACTCTACCCCCGAAGTGTATATTTATGCCGAAGTTCCAAAAGCATAAAAGGAAGACGTCTTTTAAGTGGAATAAGAAAGCATTGATTAGAACCTAAACCAAAAATTTGAAAAACTATTGAATACGAACTTGCCTAAGCTGGGCTGAGGAACGTAAATATTAGATGTATAAAATCTTATGCTGCCTAAAGTATTATGAAGTTAGCGCCGTCGATTGCTTTATTTTGGTACATTGATGAATTCAAGCCCTCAGCCTTAATTAAACGCCAGTATTGTTATCTTCTAACACATTCCTGTAATGCTTTTCTAGTCTTGTAAATATTTCTTTAAGTTGCTTTTTATAATACCCTGATTGATTTTTGCAGTGGGCAAGATTTGAGGCCAGTGAGCATTTTGCAAAGAAAGATGCAAGTTCTAAAGAAGAACAAAGCTTGCAGGTAATGTTGCATGGATACTTGTATGAGACATTTGTGTTTTTATTTTCTTCAAGAACTTTTTATTTTCTTCATGTTTCCAAGTATTTCCGTGTTGACGTTTTTTCAACCCCATGCTCTGATGTTGCTTCTGATAGGGCGTCTCATAGTTTTCACGGATTTGAAGAAATATAGGCAATCAGCTGAATGTCTTTTTAATTTTTGTCCGCCTACTTAAGATTTTGCTGCACCCCGTCTTATGTTCACCTGAAGCAGAATGTCTAGCAAAATGATTTCTTTCAAAAGTAGAATGCTGTCATCAAGCTTTCTAGTTGCATCGTGTATGAATGCCAGGGAATGGTTACCTTGGGTCAAGGTATATGTGGCATTTTGCAAGTGTCAAACGTTCTGCACTGACCACGTGATACTTTTAATTTCTAAATGGTCTTTAACTAAAAACTTCTGCTCAAACATTCTTATTGAAACCGAATCATTGCTAGTTTTGCAAGTCCGTAGCAGACGAAAAATGCCATATGGCCTAGTTACTTTGGCTAAATCTAAGTTAAATATAACATAGCCAACAGTAGAGCTTTTGGCGAGGGCTATAATATAGGGTGACGTAGTATGAAGGAAAAAATCTTGCCAAAGTTTGGCATGGTAAATTTTAGCTTATTGTTAGTATCAAATTTACTGTATTTTCCATCTCTGATAGAATTGATTATTGTATCTTTAAAAGGCTCAGAAACAAAGTCACTCCGCACACCCAGACACAGAGCTTAAACGACAATCTCGAAGTAGTGATGATTCTCTCGGTGATGCAAGAAAAGATGGGGAGTCTTTTGGCGACGAGGCAAAAGTTGTCACTTCTCCTTCCAAGGAGGCCAATCCAATAAAGGTACCAGTGACACCTGCATCACACGAAAGCAGATCGCTTGCTCAAGAAGCGAATACTCCAGTTGTTTCTAAGGAAAGTTTAACTAAGAAAAGTTCCATTGGCATAGCCAGACCAAGAGGTTTAGGACCATCTATAAATTTGATGGATGCTGCTCCTGGGCAACTACTGCCCCCACCAGATATTCGAAAGAACAGGAAGATGGCACAACAGGCACAACCTGAGCCAGCTGGACGTTTGTCGCCTCCAAACTCGCCAGAATCCCGATTTTCAACTAACTTCCCGCTGCTCGGAGAGGACTATTCTTCCGGTCCTAACGACAAACCAATGCCTAATGAAACGGAACAACATGACGAAGCTAAAAAGCAAAGTGAAGTCTCCGTTGATAGAATACGAAAGCCGGAAGCGGAGGAGGTCAAGAAAAGAGAAGCTACCCAAGACGGATTTGAACCTCCTAAAATAACGCCCCGTAAGAATCAGCCCATTGCGAAGGAGCTCGCCGGTCGAGAACCGCCCAAAACTGCACAGTTTAGAAGGTCGTCAAGTATTCGAAGAGGAGAACGACCAAGGTACATTTTGTAACATCGAGAGTATAGAGCGGTTTAGGGGGAAATTCTTGTTAGGTTGCAAGATATACGAGCTGGAATGAAGCTAAGATCTGAGTAGCCATAAAGGGCAACATGATAAGTGAATTATCATCTCGATTTTCAGATCATTTATTACATTTAATCTTTTCATACACAAAAGCTCTTCAGACCAAATTTTATCAGCCATATAATAAACAAATAAGTGGAATATCAAAACCTGAATCAATTTGGGAATTTTTTGAAGTTTAATGACCATTTGAAGTAAACATTTAATGACCATTTGAAGTAAACATGCTAAAACATTTGAAGTAGAATTCTGAGATCCATTTTGGCCCTTGAAATGGCAGCCAGTATTCAATATTTCAGTAAATCAACTTCCTAAGTAGTGCTTGTTAGAACTATAACTGTTTTGAGTTCTATGGCATATATGTTAAATGCATCAAACATTTTATGGTTCTCATTGGTAACAACAGCAGCAGCATCAGCAAACTGAAACCAGTGTACTGGCTGAAACATACGGTCATTACCATCATGGGGGGAGAAGCCAAGCTGCTTATATTTACCTGATTTAATGTACTGTATGAACGTGTTGAATCAGAGGTTGTAAAGAAAGGGGCTAAGGGGGTTTTGGAATTTGTCGGTTTTGATACATTTCCTAAAGTCTAGATATAGGCTTGAGATCAATGATTGAATTTTTTTTGAATTTTTTTAGATCAATTCCTTTTACCTTGCCTAGGTTGATTTGCCTGCCTTACATGATTTATGTTTTATTCTGGTATACTCTTACAATCAGTGATTTTTTCATACTCTTTTCTTTTCTAGGTCATACACTGCAGACAGTAAAAGCTCTATGGAGAGTTTAGTTGACAATATACCACGTCCTGAGACTAAAGATTTGACTATCCCACCAACGCCGCCTCCTCGTAAAACAAAGTCGCACAAAAGAGGATCCTCGCTTGATCTCAATAAAATTTTCTCAAAATCACATCAAAATTTAGGTAAGCCATGTAATATTTTCCGTATCTGAGCAGAGCTCAGAAAAGTATTAGTCAGTTAGGTGGCAATCGACTGACAACTGCGAGGAGGGGTATTAAAAAGCAAAAAATCTTAGTTGCAAAACTAAATGCATGCCTTAGTTCTATTGTTAATTCAGGGAAAGTATGAAGTTTTGTCTTATGGGTCGTAGGGACCATGACAACATTTCTCGGTTTCTCTAGCTTCATGTATTATGTCATATATTACCAGTCGTTTCTCTTTTTGCTACCTTATCTATTTGATTATAAGTCACGTTCGATAATAAGCTACAGAAAATTGGGTTCATAAAAAAGTGTAAGCCGCCCTTTATTATAAGCAATGCTCACAAAACCACGCAGAGAAAGTTAGTTTGAAATGACGGACGCAAAAACTGCTTAAGTGAAAAAATAAAATAAGAATTGACGTATCTTCAAATTCATGGACGAATATAACGGCAGTAAGGGTAACTTACCCTTTTGAAACTGAACCAATAAAAATCAACCATATGCGCAATTTTGATAGGCATGTGATGTCACAAATATGGTAGCCAGCGCAGAAGATAGCTGACATAGATGATTGAAAAACCAAAATGGGTATTTTCGAATATATTTAAAAGTCGATGGTACACTTTTATACAGTTGAAGATAAACGTACATCCCTATATTGTTCACTGTAGTTTTAACATCATTTATCTCGTTTATGGGGAAGAATTGAAAACACGTGAATATTCTGCTATAGTTGTGTAACCCAACAGAACATTAGCTTATAAATTGGTTAAGAAGTTGCACCGAAAAGAATACCGATCGTGACACGACAATTTATTTGATGCAAAAAGTTATAACTTGGTTCCATGTTTTGAGTATTCTCTCATGCAATTGAAAGTTACTTTTGAGAAATTCACATTATTACTCATTCATATGACTACAAGTAGGTCAATTTATGTAATACAGGTAACAGAAATTGTAAGTTTCACAATATTATAAAGAAGGCACTTTTACGACGGATTTACTTAGCCATTTACAAAGTTTAAGCATCAACAACAAGAAGCTTTAATAAATAGATTTTCAATAGCATCTGTTAACCTTCAATTTTGATAATCGCATCCAAATCGATAAGACTTCACGGAAGCGGGGAAATATCTTGTGTGTGTTGTCTTCAGTAAGTGTTATAAACACGTATTCTTTTTTATATACACGTGCATTGAGATGAAACCTCAGGTATTGAGGAGGTAGCAGGACCTCATTATGCGTTGGGGAGGTTATCTTTTACATGTAATAGCTTTTGTGTATCGATTCGCAAAGATCTAGTAATGCGTACAGTTAAAGTCTTAACTCATCTTGTGTTTTTACCAAATGTAAAATTTCTTCCAGCTGAAGCACGGGGGAGAATTGAACGAGAAATCGATATATCTGACGCTTTGGTAGGTAGACTAACTTTTGCAATGTTAATTATATTTTTGAAGAAGGGTAACATTTTATTACAGACTTTAGCTTTTCGTCCGACACTTCATTGAAATTTCATTTGAAATGGGTCTGAATTTCAGCAAACTGATGATGCAGTAACTACTTGAGTTTGTCATGTTAAAGATTTGTTGCACCCTTTGTCATGTTAAAGATTTGTTGCTATTGCTAGTTCATGCTATGTATTAAGAATGTTTATGTTCTGCATAAAAAGGTAGGAGTCTTCGACAGGAAAATAATTATGCTTTTTTCGAAAAATATCTTGTACCGTCGAGCCCTTTCCTTTTCACATTTACATTCTCTTGTCTTTTATGGAAATTATTCGACTTGAAAGCAGGAATGCGGCTATTTTTATGCTTTTTCAGTTTAAATTTTGATGGAAATATAATGAAAATTCAAATTGGTTTTTAGCCACCCAGAATCCCGAGGGCTGATACAAAAGATGAAAAAAAGGACAAGAAGGAAAAAGGAGATGTGCAAGCAATCGCTAGACCTCGCCCGGCTGCTAAAAGTCATCAACGCTCAGTATCACACGATGCTTCAAAGGTTGGAGAATGCTTCTTTGTTAGTTTCCTTGAATTTGCAGGCGTGGAAAACGTGTCCCACAAAATCTTTTTGTGAGAGCATTGGTCCCACAAAATATTTAGGGTCCTTAAAAGAAATTTATAAAAAAGCAGAATTTATGCAGAAGGATACTAAAATTCCTAAAAGGAAGAATCCACAAAATCAATAAAGAGTACGAGAAAAAGGAACATGTTTACGGTGATCAAATGCTCAATAGGCCTAATTTATCTAAAGCAGTTGTCTGTGCAGCGAGTTTGTGGCATCGAAGATATTTTTTTAAAGGAAGTTCCAGTAAGAAAAAATTATTTTCCACCCCTGTGAATGTTTTTTAAGTATGATCCTAGTGCGTTCTAATTCCCAGATATAATCCATGCAATAAACCTGTTTATACTGTAATTCAGGCCCATCGAGAGCTGTCATGGGACCTTGGGCAAAAATAAAGATAGGGCCCGTGATACCGTCTTTAGAACTGTCACTGTTCCTGTTTAGGTGCATCGTTAAAACCTACCCGGGCCCCTCTCAACGTTTGGCCTGCTGCCATTGTCACCCATTTCTGAAGATGAGTTCACTAACATTAAAATACGTGCATACTAAAGTCTCCGCTTTTTACACTTAAATATCTAATTTCTTTTCAATAAGTATGTTCAAACAAATTTGCGTAATTCGAACCAGTTGGGATCAGCCTCTTGTCTTCAACTATGATAATATTTGATGTTCCCAATATTTGATAGTCGCTTGAGACAGCCAGTGATTTCTACTTAAACGACTTAATCCTCTGTGTTTCCAGTCTTAAATTTTTTTCCAAATTGATTCCCATTTATAAAAGAGGGCTTTTGAATTTCTAAATATTATCCCATTAACTAGCTGGAAATATAACTCCAAAGCTTTAGCAGACGCATTTAAGTATTTGTCTTTGATATTTAAAACGTGTTGCATATTCATTGATTCAATTTGCTGAAACTTTATTTAACATAGGGCATTGCTCCAATGAAATATTCTGGTCTTTAAAATGTATTTTTCCTAGTTTCTGTCTGACAGCTTCTAGAAATGTTGTTATTTTGTCGTTTCATCTCTAAGAAAATCATTTCTAAACGTTGAACTTGAAATTCCTATGAACTAATCTGCTAAAGAATTTCTTTGAAGCTTTTAGAATTTATTTTGAAAATTCTTGATTTTAATGAAAATCTTTTTTTTAGCCATTGGCTCCTCTAGCACCACCACCGAAAACTAGCGAGGGTAAGTAAATTATGCTTGCTACAAATTTATCACAAAAGAAATGCTTGTCATTGATCAGGTCAAGATTTCTAATTTTAAGTGTGGAAAATAAATCAAGACTTTTGTTTTGTGATATTTCTGAAATTTTGAGAATTCGCTAGTAGCTAAATTTCCTCAAAAAAAATTCTGATAATGTTGTAAGAATGAATTCTTTAGCCCAAACTTGAATTCTGTGCTGTTAAAGACTCATTGCTAACAATGAGCCATTGCGCTACGTAAGCATCCCATAATGCATTTTTAGACTGTCTAAAATCAATTTTGGTTAATCCTTAGAAAATTACTGCCATTGTTTGGATCGTCACCAGGAAAATTTGTCACGCTCGCAAAGGCCCATTGTTAGCAATGAGTCTTTAACTTTCCTTGAAATCGTATAGGAGCTTACAATTATTAAAAGTGACCGCACTTGGTAATTATTTCATCAGTTTTTTTTCTACTCTCGTCAAAAAACTTGCACGCCTAATAAAAACAGCTGTATTGCGGATTCTCTTGTTTGCTAATTCACCTGTAGATTCTAGCCAAAAAATATAAATATTTGACAAAAATTGGCCAAAGTAATCTTATAAATCCTCTCAAACAGGTAACAAAAAAATGTCGCTCTGTATTCGCAGGTTCTTTCAATTATTAGTTGCTTTTTTATGCATCGAGGATGTCTTGATATAAAGGATGCTCGTAGCATCTTGAAACTACAATAGAATCCTGGTAGCTTGCTCGAACACCTTTTAGCTCGCCCCCCAAATAACTTTAATTCCAGAAACATTGAGCCCTAATGACCCGAGCCCCCAATAACTCGAATCCCAAGCAAATCGAACCTCTAATAACTCAAACTTTGATTAAACCTGATTAAACGATTAGATCTTGTGATTAGATTTACCATAATTAATAACTCATTGTTTGATTTCTGTTCGTAGCCTGTGCCTCCAATAGCTCGAATTCTCTATACTCGAACCCCTAATGACTTGATCCCCCATCACTTGAACCCAAAAATAAATCGAACCCTCCATAAATCGAGTCCCAAATCTCTCGAGCCCCCAATAACTTGAGCAGTTATTTAATTGTCCTTGAAACGTCTCAAATTAGTTTGAACGCCCGATCACTCGAAATTTTGCTATCTCCTACAATAATTGTCGTTTTGTTGGAGGTTTGAGTTATTGGGTTTTGTTAAAGCCGCTGGTTAAAGGAAAGGGGCGTTTGTTATCGTTTAGAAAAAGACACCTTTGATTTGTTCCGAAACCTTGTCAGTGTATATTCCTTGTAACATCTATTTTCTTTTCAAGGTTTCATCAAAGACCCACCAACACCTGGACACAGAAA